GACTGCATGGGGCACCTGCCACGTTGTCTTATGGACAAGCTCCTATGGCCCCATACCAGTTATGCAGCGGCATACCTGGATGATGTGATTATTCATACCCCTGACTGAGAAACTCACTTGGAAAAGGTGGAAGCGGTTGTGGACACATTAAGACGGGCTGGCCTCACAGCCAACCCAGCCAAGTGTACTATAGGGCTAGCTGAGGCTAAATACCTCGGGGCATGGTCAAGCCCAAAGGGGCATGGTCAAGGGGCATGGTCAAGCCCAAACTAAACAAACTAGAGGCTATCCAAAATTGGCCCTGGCCATGTCAGAAAAAGCAAATCCACGCATTCCTGGGTGTGGTGGGGTACTACCAATGATTTATTCCCCATTTTGCTACCAGATCGAGTCCCCTGACAGACCTGATAAAAGTCTGGGGTCCAGACATGGTGAAGTGGACAGATGCCGCAGAGAAAGCATTCATGTATCTACGGACAGCCCTCTACAGAAACTCCATGCTTATAGCCCCAGAGTTCAACAAAGAATTAATTTTACAGACAGATGCATCTGAAGTAGGATTGGGAGCTGTCCTATCGAAGATGAAGAACACCCAATCCTCTACCTCAGCAGGAAACTCCTCCAGAGAGAACAGAAGTATGCCGTGGTTGAAAGAGAGTGCCTAGCTGTGAAATGGGCCATGGAAACACTACGTTATTACCTTCTGGGACAACAGTTTACCCTTGTGACCGACCATGCACCCCTCCAGTGGATGCAGTGGATAGCCTCTAGTTTGTTTAGTTTGTATTCTTCACTATGTATAAATTGACTATTGCCCCATTCACAATTGGTCCCTTACCACCAATCTGAAATGAATGCAAATGAAGAATTAAACTAACAGGAAGAGGAACACAGCAGGGGAAGAGAACCTTATCTTGAGGTGCATATAAAAGGTTTGCTTGAGTATATTTGGGGATACAAAGGAGATGCCTGGGCATTCCTTACGTAGGAAGTAAATGGATGGCAGACTTGCTTCGTGAAAAAGTGGTCACAACTAGAGTTAGCTGAAAACGGTGAAAAGAACTTTGGGTGAGATAAGCTTCTTTAGAGAGGAGGTTAACCTGTTAGCTAAGTTTAGTCTCTAGAAAGCATGTTATGATTGTGTTTTTATATATAACCATTTGTTCCCAATATTCTTATTCACTGAATCTCTGTTTTTTGATAAACTTATCCTTGTGCTCACTATAAATATAGCTTAAGTGCTTTGGTGTTAAGCAAATTACTGGTCGGGAGTTGACTCTTACAAGCTGGTGTGTACTGTTCCTTTGGGAACAGCAGGCCTGATAATTCTATGAGTGTTCATTAGATAAGGGGCTGGACACTACAGGGAACACCCAGAGGACTTGGTGTGTGCCTATCCCTACTTGTACAGAGAGAGTGAGGTCTGTGGAGGCCTGGAAGGTAGTGCTTGTGCTGCCAGAGGTTATTAGTTTCGGGGAGCTAATCCACAGCCTGCATAGATAAAACTACTTTGCGCTAAGTACAGGTGGTGGTAAGAGCCTCAGAACCCTGGGTACCGGCACAATCTTATCAAAGTTATTATTGCATGGGATTTTCAGAAAGCACCAAGTGACTTAGGAGCACAACTCCCATTGAAAGTTAATGGGACTAGTATTCCTAAGTGATTTGTGTGCTTTTGAAAAATCCCATCCATTATTTGAGAACAGCCGAAGATGTGCTAGGCCCCTTACAGAAGGAACAGAAGTCCTGCTCAAAAGACTTTACAATCTACATTTTGATGTGACCTAATGAGTGAGGGTGAAGAACAGTATGGTGGGGAATTGGGGTCACAGAAAGGATACAGAAACATGGTTATAAAGTAATTCAGTTAAAAGTATGTGGACATTACGGTGGCTCCTTTTAAAGGTTTCATTTTATAGTTATAGTTATATATAAAACGGAGAAAAAAGATTTAAGACAGTGAACTTAGTTATTGTGGGCATGTGGGAGAAGTGAACTTTTAGAAGAGATTTAAATGAGGAGGTGGTGGTGGTGGCTTACGTAGATCAGCCTGGTGTAGGTTACTAAAATATTTAATATGACAGCTAACCATTTGATTTTGACCTATTCATCTACCAGAAAAAGTGTCTTCATTGGGATCCCAGTTTTGCAATGCAAAATGCTGAATGTGCCTTACAGTCAAAGCGAGATGACAATGCTCAGCAGCTTTCAGAATTAGGCTCATGTTTCTTCAGGTTGAAAATGATACCAGGTAGTTGGAAAAGTTGGCTAAGTGCTTTTATTTTCATTGTAGCTACATGTTGTTGTCCCAAGGTACAGATCTGCCAGTACATTCTAGTTCAGTACAAAGAACGAAATGACAGAAATTGGGAAATTCTAACAGAAGCAGTGCAGATAGTCAGCATAATTTCTCTTTGATTTTTTTAATGAGCTTGGAGCGGAATGGCTTTATATTTTCCCAGTAGCAACAATATTTTCATATGGTATGACATCCACTACCATACAGAGAAAGATTATGTCTTTGTACAGTGTGTTCTTATGGAAGGTCAGAGGGCCACTAAATTCAGTGTGAGGAATACTAAGGGTTATATCCCCTGAGCTTGAAGTTGTTTGTTCTTAGAACTGCTGCCTGGATAGCGAGTAAAAGACTTCTTGGAGCAACTGGAGTAAAACACATGGTCAAGCCCACATGCAGCCTCCTTGGGAATTGAGGAATGTTTCCTGGAATGCTGACATTCTCTGGAACTGACCCTGGCCCCAGACTATAACTCTTGGTTGTATTGCTCTTTAAAAATTAAATGTGGTTGGGAATCTCAGTCAGAATTCTGAATTACTTCATGCTGTAAATAGCCTTGTGCCCCTTTCATGCCCTGAACGTACAACCACTACAGCATTTGTTAGAAGTTTGAAACAATCCCAAAACTTTTCCATAGTTTTCATCAGCTCTAGCTGGTGGCCAGCAGTTTAAAAAGTATCAGATCCAGTTTGCCTGGACTTCATTTTGGAAATGAATGAGGATGTATGAAAATACACATAAAGATGGAAGAGGATTTCCTCATGGTCAGAGAATGTTATACATCAGGGGTGTCCAACCTGAGCCTGCAAAGGAGCCAGAATTTACCAATGTACATTGCCAAAGAGCCACAGTAATACGCCAGCAGCCCCCCATCAGTTCCTCATCCCCACTCCCAGCGCCTCCCACCCACTGGCAGCCCTCCTGATCAGCACCTCCCCCTCCCTTCTTGCACCTCCTAATCAGCTGTTTTGTGGTGTGCAGAAGGCTCTGGGGGGTAGTGGGAGGAGCGAGGGCATGGCAGGCTCAGGGGAGGGGATGGGAAGCCATTTCCAAGAATGAAGTTAGTGAAAAATACACTGTTTTGCCCATGTTAAAAATGCTGACAACCTCTCCTTTGAAAAGCTGTAGTATCCACATTCTTTGGAACAGGGACTTGAAATTTGGCAAGTTGGTGACCTTTTTGTTAGGGATTTGCCTTTTGCTGTCCCTGTGATATCCACCAAAATTTGATCAAGTTATAATCCTCTGAAAAATCTCAATTTGCACATGCTGTGGAGGAGATCTCTGATGACCTGAAAATCTAAAAGGAATCATACAAAACATGGAGACATGGACAGATTGCTAGGATGAGTATAAAGAATAGCACAAGCATACAGAGACAAAATTAGAAAGGCGAAGGCACAAAATATGTTTCACCTAGCAAGGGAAATAAAGGGCAATAAAAAGAGGTTCTATAAATATATTAGGTGTAAGAGAAAGAGGAAGGAAATCTAGGTCTATTATTTAATGGGGAAGGAGAGCAAATAACAGGTGATGCAGAGAAGGCTGAGATGTTTAATGCCTTTTTTGCTTCAGTCTTCGCTAGAAAGGTTAAATGTGACCAGATGCTTAAGACAATTAGTATTAACACAAGGGGGAAGATTCTTGGGCCAGAATAGGGAAAAACAGGTTAAAGGATATTTAGATAAGTTAGGTGTATTTAAGGAAGAAGGGCCAGATGAAATTCACCCTCCAGTTCTCAAGGAACTAGCTGAAGTAATCCATGAATCATTAGTGATTATCTTCAAGAATGGTTGGAGGGCAAGTGAGGTCCCAGAGGACTAGGGAAGAGCACAAACAGTACTATTTTCAAAAAAAGAGGACCCAGAAATTGTAGACCAGTCCACCTAACTTTGATACCTGGAACGTAAGGCTTTTGACACAGTCCCACATGATGCTCTCATAAGAAATTAGGGGTGCTGTTTAGATGAAAATACCTTAAAGTGGGTGCATAACAGGCTGGGCCCCCCTAGTATGTGTGCATTATGATATAGTGTTTAATTCATATTTCAAAGTCAGAAGGGACCATTGTGATCATCTAGTCTGACCTCGTGTATAACGCAGGGCAAAGAACGTCCCCAAAATAATTGCTAGAGCAGATCTTTTAGAAAAACATCCAATTACATGATCACATACTATTTTTTTGACAGGAAAAGTCTTATGAAGTTTCTCTCTCTCCCTTTGTACTGGAGTGGGAGATTTGCTCTTGACTTAAATGGTGGTAGGAGAAATGGACCAGCTGAGGGGCAACCCACTTGCCCAGACCAACTATACAGGCAAGGCATACTCAATATTGAAAACGAAAGAAAGTGATGTTGTGGAGGAGGGATATGGAACAAAAAAAGCTTGTCAATTTAGATACAGTTGGAGCAATATTTGGGAGTTGCAGAGTCTCAAAGTCTGACTGTGGTTTAGAACACAGCTGTTCTCTGTAGTTTTGGAAGTAGTTATAACTCTGAGCTGTACTTTGTTTTTTAGTGTCTGTTCAAAAGTACAGCCACTGTAAATAAATTAGACTGGGTATTCTCATTCTGTGTGAAATCATTTCTTTTCTAACATGAAAATAATCCATTGCTGGAATGTAAAGGTTTCTGGATTGTTCAGAAGTCTTGACAATACCATAGATTTTGTTGACTACACGTATCTTCTGTATGCTTCTTTCCAGGCACAAACCATGAATTACGTTGGGCAGTTAGCAGGCCAAGTATTTGTTACTGTGAAGGAGCTCTACAAGGGATTAAATCCTGCCACGCTATCTGGATGTATTGATATAATTGTTGTACGTCAGCCAGATGGAAATCTTCAGTGTTCCCCTTTCCATGTGCGCTTTGGGAAAATGGGGGTTCTGCGTTCTAGAGAGAAAGTGGTAAGAAAACAGAAATCTTGTTACTTTTCTCTTGTTTTCTCAGTGTGTGAACTCATTGCATGTAGGTACAGAAGATGTTACAATGTAGCAGTCAAAGCTTTCATTAAATGGTCTTTATAAAGAGCCTAAATTGTATTTTCAAGGTTCAGTTAAAATGGTTGATACTGATAATGTTATTTTAATGCATAATGTGTAGACAGTTGATCATAATAACTGCGAACCAAACTACAGTTAGGCAAATTTATTGACTGAAAATACAGTTTCCATGTCTACATTTAGACTTTTACTTGGAATTTCGCAAGATATAACTATGGCTTATGTTATTTAACTGGATGATATTTATAGGATAGTGTTGGAATCTTGACAAATATTTTAATTAAGGTACATCTCAAGATTCCTCTCATTGTAGCTAAATTTTAAAGTTTTGCTGTAGTTTCTGTTAAATAATAATCTATACATGCTCATGATGAATGCTTTCCATAATTGTTGCAAAATTCCTTTTCAATATGGCAAAAGGTTGACAGTACAGACCTATGTTAACATTAAGTTCTCATGGTTTTACACTAGGGCCTTGTTGTTCATCATGTTTATTAATGACCTGGAAAAAGGTGTGAATGGTGAGGTAGTAAAATTTGTAGATGACAAAATTATTTAGGTTATTCAAAGCTAGAGAAGACTGTCAGGGACTTCAGAGGAACCTACAAAGCTAGGAGAACTGGCAGCCTCATGTCAAATGAAAGCCACTGGTGTCAAATGCATGATGATTTGGCAGAATAATCTGTACTACTTATACACATTTTGGGTTCTAAGTTAACTGAAATCGCTAAGGAAACAGACCTGAGTGTCATTGTGGATAGCTGAGTGAAAACTATTGCTCACTACTTTTCTGAGTCAAAAGGGAAAATGTGTATAAAGAGTGGATAGAAAATAATATTGGATAATGCCTTTATGTAAATCAGTTGGGTGCCCTGGCCTGAAATACTGTGTTCAGTTATGGTCACCCTAATCTCAAAAATGATATAACAAATAGAATGCGTAACTGAAATGATTAGAGGCATAGAGATACTTCTGGCATGGAGGAGAGATTGAAAAGATTGGGGTTATTTAGAAAGGGGATATGACAGTGATTGAACAACAATGAATGGTATGGAGATGGCAAATCAGGTTTTCCTATTTCTCCTTTATCATAGTGGCAGGACAGGGCGCATTTAATGAACTTGAAAGGCAATACATTTACAACTGATAAAAGGAAATACATTTTCACTTAATGTACAATTTGTCTGTGATACTTTTTGATGACAAGATATCACTGAGGTCAAGAGCTCAGTAGGATTTAAAAGAGATTAGAAATTTATGTGGCTAATGAAACATCTACAGTTACATTAGATAAAATACAGAATTTTTTTAATATGGGATAAAAACCTTCATGATTCAGGGTGCAAGTCAACCATTAACTAACAGAGGTTAGCAAGATACTACCCCAATAGGCAGCTTTCCCCATAATTATTTACTTTAGGTTTCTTTCACCTTCCTCTGAAGCATCTGACCAATGTCCGGGACAGGCTAGAGCAATAGATGGACTTGATATGGCAGTTCCTCTGTACCTACGATTACTTTATTTTTATTGTTTTGTTTTTTCCCCCAAGGTTGACATAGAAATTAATGGAGAATCTGTAGATTTGCACATGAAACTAGGGGACAACGGAGAGGCATTTTTTGTACAGGAAATGGATAATGATCAGGTAATGTCCAAAGATAATTTTCATTTGTCAAAATTCTGATGCATACACTGTGGCAGCGATTTTGAATTTAGGGCTTTTGTTTAAAAATATGCCTCTATCTAGTGTATGTGTAACTGTATCATTCTGATAGAAAAATGCACAGCAACTCATAGAGGAGTTTGGTACTGGATTAAATTAGCATTTCAGGTTTAAATTTTGACAGCTTGGCATAGCCCATTGTCAAATAATAAGTATGGCCCAAATATATATGTGTGTGTGTGTGTATGCTCATACAGGTACAAAAATACACCCACTTTAACACACTCCAAATATCTGCAAATACATTGCCTAATGCACACTTGTAAATCAGTGATTTACACTGCCTAGGCCTATGCTTGCACAAATCTCTGATTTGTGTGTGTGTGCACTGAGCATTGTGCTTATGCAAAAGTGCATGTGTCCTTTTAAACATTTGGTCTTAAAGTGTTCGTTACTCATTAAAGGTATGATTCTGCACCCATTACTCGCACTGAATACTACTTAAATTAGAACTCCTGTTGTGAGACTCTGTGATTAACTGCTATGCAGTTTAAATGAGGCCCACACTAATGTTGATGACACTTCCCACAAGGTAGAGAAGGGGTAACCTTTTAAAGGTATTTGCTTTAGGAGTATGCAACAATTGTTTTGATTCTCCAGCATGAGAAAAATTTTAAACCCTGATGCACCAGTTCAGTCCCATTAACTTCAGTTAAGAATTGCATCCATGAACATTCTTTCTCCCCATGTCTTTACATCTAAATATGTTAGATGGTAGCAATCATTTCCAGATAAAGAAGATTGCTAGGAAACTTTCCAAATGTGTTTTAGATAAAATACAGAATAAACTGGGGTGTGTATATTATATTATTTAGTGTATATAACCACCTCATAAACAGAATCTTTGGGAAATTTCTGGTCTCCATGAAATCTTGACATTGTGTGATTCAAGTCATACCTGTCACTGATGCAGAGGTTACTAGCCTACTGTTTCCTGAGAGTGGTGTGATCTATACGCAGATCACAGGGGCATGACCAGGACATAAGTTATGAATCTTCACTTAAGAAATAGTGGTTCCATCACTTAATAAGCACTGAATTCTGCCCTGGGATGTGCACAGTGCCTGCGAAGCTCCCCATTCAATTGGAACCTAAGCAGTCACCTACTTTATGTTCAAGTTGTGTGAAAAGCGAAAGGAACAATTGTGTTACAAGGCAGAGCCCTAACTGAGTGTGGAAGTGAATGTACCTTCCAAGGTGCAGCATATGCTCTGCTGTGCACCTGGGTAGTTCCATGAGCCTTTTGTTGGGTGGGTGTGCCTCTGCCTCCTCCCTTCCTGCCCTCCTTTAGCCCTGCAGGGAGACTACAGCTTGTTGGGGCACATGGCAGAAACAGTCTCTGTGTTCCAGGAGTGTAGGGACAGTAATTGTGCCTCTGGGTGGGACAGTGTGGGGAGGCTTCTCAGGCCTCTCCTTGCATCCATGCTGAGGCCTGGCACAGTCTAGCCCAATGTCTCTATTCTGATGTGTTAACATTTGAGATGGGCCTGAACCACAAGCTTTGGGTATGGATCCAGAGCAGAGTCTGTGGAGGTTTGGATCTAGGATTCTGGTTCAGGTCCATTAGAGAGACAGAGGGTGCTGAGCCATTAAGATGGATCAGACTTACTCCAAAATTCTATGTTGTTTGGACCCAGCCTTCTGGTTCTGGCCTATATCTAGTATCAACTGGCTAGAGACTAGAGCTACTGATGGGCCAGTATTAGCTATATAGAAGAACCCCTTAGTGCAGGTACCCTCCCTTGCTTCCTCTAGGAGCTGCCACCCTGAAAACAGTTCCCCCTGGCTTGAAGCCTAGAGAGCCCACATGGGGAAGGGGCACTCTGGGCCTGAGTTGTTTTGATAGTCAGTTGGGTTAATGGACAGAGACCATTCGGCTCAGATGCTAGACCTATATTTTTGACTGTGGGGGGGAATAATATATCCCCTGTTTTTGATTTCTTTGTCTTCAGGAGGTAATTCCTTACCACCTCGCTACATCCCCCATTCTATCAGAAGGAGCTGCTCTGATGGAATCACAGCTGAAGAGGAACTTGATAGACAGGGTGAGGAATCTGGAATCCACTGGATCCTCACAGGTATCAATCCCCAGTCTTGCTTCCCAGTCTGCTATAGAAAGCTCCTCGATTTGTGTCTCTGTGAAGAAAAGAAGGAAGAGGAGGAGGAAATCTACCCATAAACTTGACAGTTTAAAAAGAGAAGACACGTCAGAAGATGAAGAAATGTTTTCTATACAGATTAGTTCAGAGGAAGAGAATGAGCCCGTGGACAATATGAGGTATCATTTATAATGCAGATCTAATGCCAGATTGAAAGGATTAAATGTTTCTTGCATGTATTGCACAGAGAGGGGACTCAGGTGTTTTTTGGATGTGTGTGTAAAGATGGCCTTCTGAATTAATAACCAAGCCCTCAAAACTAGTTATGAAATCCAAGAGACTTCTGATCTGAAACCAACATGGAGAAAACCCGTTTTTAGTTTGGTTATTACTCCCTGGTAATGTATAGGTACAGGAGTCTAATAGATACCCAGGACCAGAGCCTCAGCTAGTGTAAATTAGCATTTCTCCTCTGCATTGATATATACCAGCAGAGAATTTGACCTATATTTTGTGTCCATACAGTGGATAAAAAACATTCTGATGATTAATCCAGAATATCCAGATCCACTAATTACTGGAGCTATCATTGGGCTAACCCCATAGATCCTGGAGTTACAAGCATGGAGAGCCAAACTCTCTGTGGGTCCTCTCTTGGTCCCCTTTGTTCAGCTCTGCAGTTAGCTCTCCCTTGTTTTCCTCTCCCTACCTGTGTTTTAGAGCAACAGTAGCTCATGGGTGCATTTCTGCTTTGAAATCTGGCAGAATAGGAGGGAAGCTTGTGACGTACAGTGATTGCTGCTTTGGATTTGTCCCCTCCTACTGTACGCACTTCCCATCCCCCATGCATCTACTCTGAACCAGAGAAGCCCCATTTCCACAGTCTGCCTACAGAAGGGATGTTGAGGATTCAGGGGGCGAGTGTAGCATGTAGCAGAGTCATTGCTTCCCCCTTCCACTTCTTCAGATTTCAGCTCCCCCTCTCCGCCCCCCCCAGCAGCACACATGGCTGAAGAGCATCTGGTCCTGAGAATGAGTTTTAACCTAGGAAATTGATAGCAAAGTGACGAGAAGAATGATATCTGTGGAACTACAGGGTATGAGTGAGACTGTGGTTTTCTCCCACTATTTGATTTTGTACCAACATCTGCATGTCTTCTTACTAGAACATGTCTCCATTATTCTATTAACTGAGATATGAGGAAAATTAATATTCAGGCATTATTTTAACTTCCAGTTTGTTTGTTTTTGTGCTCAGGATATCTGTTACGGATATGTTTAGTGAAGAAGTGTCTGAGATAAATGCTTCTGCAATCAGTATGCTTTCGCAGTCTGTACCATACACCCATTCAGATGGAGAGTGGTCACCCCTTCAGAGGTACAGTATATAGAAGTAGAATATATAGTTTTTTTTTTTAAACAATCTCCCCTTCCTCACTTAGAGCTTGTCTAAACTGGCACTTTACAGCGCTGCAACTTCCTTGCTCAGGGGTGTGAAAAACAACCCCCCCCCCCAAGTGCTGCAAGTTTCAGCCCTGTAACATGCCAGTATAGACAGTGCACCAGCGCTGGGAGCCGTGCTCCCAGCTCTGGGAGCGATTCCCCTCATGGAGATGGGCTGCGACTACACAAGCCATGTTAAATGTTGCCAGTGAAGACGTGCCCTTAGTCCTACTTGCTGCCTTCTCAAGTCTTGTTGAGTCAAGCATTATCACTATCAACTACTAGATGAATACCTTCTGCAGTTGAATATGTGGTATAGTTGTAGCCATGTCAGTCCCATGATATTTGAGAGACAAGGTGGGTGAGGTAATATCTTTTATTGAACCAACTTCTGTTAGTGAGAGAGACAAGGTTTTGAGCAACACAGAGCTCTTTTTCAGGTCTGGGAAAGGTACTCCCAATGTCACATTTGCATTTAGCTGTGACGCTGGGAGAACCTTTCCCAGACCTGAAGAAGAGCTCTGTGTGGCTTGAAAGCTTGTCTCTGTCACCAACAGAAGTTGGTCCAATAAAAGATATTACCTCACCCACCTTGTCTCTCTACATTTGAATTCAGACAGTATGCAACAGCTTTAGGGCAACTCTGCTCTCACTTCCAGTCTTCAAATGTGGAATATGCTGTGTGGAATATTTGTTGCCTTAATCTGATCACGTGCCCAGTGCTGATCTTTGAAGTTGGGAATCATGCTGCCCTAAACCAAAAATTCATTTGTCCAGAAACAATGATCTAATCCTGCAGCACTTACTCACATGTGCAGTAATATTGATGTCAATGGGTTTGTATAATTACCATATAGAGGGCTGAACATTCAGTGGAAGTTGAATCCATGCTACACAGAAAGACTTTAGTGAATTTAGTCATGAGTCTATTTTCATAGAATCATAGAATATCAGGGTTGGAAGGGACCTCAGGAGGTCATCTAGTCTAACCCCCTGCTCAAAGCAGGACCAATCCCCAATTTTTGCCCCACATCCCTAGATGGCCCCCTCAAGGATTGAACTCACACCCTGGGTTTAGCAGGCCAACGCTCAAACTGTATTTTTTTTACTTTGGGCCTGATCCTTCCAAGACTTGCAAGATTGGGCCCTAATATGTAAAAAACCAAGATTCTTTATGATTCAAGAAAATAAGCTTCCTATGTCTATTTCAAAAAACTATTTCTTTAGTGACAAAGGTGACTGTAACATGGAATGTTCATTATAGATAATACACATATACATACAGCATATTATATACATATATTCCTTATGCATTTCTTGTTTAATACTCTTTGTGTACACACAGTGTGGGTGTGCATACATTAGAATCAAAGTGTGTCAATTTGGACTGCATTTTTTCCTCCTGAGGAACAGCCTCAAAGCTGTTCAGTTGACGTCAGACAAGTCCTCTTTCCACAGGTCACAGTGAGGTTCCAATGAAGTCTATTTCTGTGTGGAGACTTGGTGGCTAGTTTGAACTGTATGCTACCTTTGTGCTTCTAGACTGCAATGCTTAGATTTTGAAAACTTGAGATGTACAGTCCTGTTTTCAAATGGCCTTTGAGTGCCTGAAGAGCTTGTGTTAATTAGCACCTATTTTGAATAATGACACCCAGTTTTTCTCTCTTTCAATATATCGTGCTATCCAGTAAGCCTTTTGATTGCACAGGGCCATCCTCCCATCTCACTGTTCCAGCAGACGGAGGCCTATCTAGTTCTTGTCCTCATCAATCCTCTCACTTCCCTGCTATAGACAGGTAGAGGAGTTATTCTTCCCCTTTTGGGGTGTGTGATTAATCCTTTAATGCATTAACAATATGCAAATTTTGCCTAACTTACAAAGCTGCTTATTACTAACCTAGACACTTGGGAGGAAAATGCAAGATAGCAGAATTGCCTTTACTTACCTCCTACCTGGGCTTTGAATGTAGGTAAGTTGCACAGAGAAGCCCTGCATTACACTATGATGGGTAATATAACATCAGTATAATGAGAAAAAGGATTAGAAAAATGGAAAAAAAGACCAAGGAAACATCCAAGGACAAATGATCCAGCTCCTCGGCTGGTGTCAATTGCTGTAGTTCTATTGAAATTAATACAGATATTTCCTTTCGGGCTTTCTGTAGCTTAAAAACAAAAATCATTTCCACTTCACAGAACACAGGGCCTTCCTGCAGAGTTTGCTTTCCCTCTGTGATACCAGAGTATTTTAAAATGAAAAATCTAAAACCCCGCACAAGATGATGCTTAATCAGACAAAAGAGGGGGTGGCATGAGTGAGGAAGCCTTTTTCTCTTGTCCTCTGATCTTCATTCTTTGGGTCGGGGATGGAAGCTCTTCTGTACTTTGGACTGTTCGGGAGAGAGCATCTAGAGAGAGGAAGGATGATCCAGTGCATAGGACAATAGCAGAGGACATAGGAGACCTAGATTGAAGTCTCTACTGTGCTACATCCTTCTTATGTAACTATGGGCAAGTCACTTACCCTCTCTGCACCACCATTCCCCATCTGTAAAATGGGAATAATAGCACCTCCTTACCTCACGGAGATGTTGGGGACCATGTATCTGAGCACCTCACAATCTTCAGTGCATTTATCCTCCTATCACCACAGTAAGTATCTACGATAGATTGCATAACATTCAAGGGATATGGCATTTGAGTAATATCTGCTGACACTAGTGACTAAAAGATGACTTGTGAAAGCTTTTCCTGCTACACTTAGTAGCTAGTGAGATACCCCTTTAGCTGTTACGGTTGCCCTTTTCACTTTCAGTGTTATACAGAGTGATGATGTTTGCATCATGCATCTCTTGTGGTACCTCACCCTCTTTCCAGCATTTAAATAGCAGCTGATGAAGATATGTAGTAGGCTGTCTTTCCCACACTTGAGGATTTCTGCTGGGATGCCATCTTTTCCAGGACTCTGGCCACTTGACAGCAAATCAATGGCCTTGCTTCGCTCTTCTACCGTGGGCTCCACATCTAGATCTGGCGTGACCTGTGGAGTTGGTATTTGGTCCAGCGATTCGCTGGTGATGTTTCTTTCTTGTGTGTATAGCTCTGACTTCCAAAAGTCATCTTATTGCACCTACAACAGCTGGCGAATCATGTCTACCCTGAATCACAGTGCGGATTCAGGGCTGGAAGATCAACTATAGACATATTTTCTCTGAGTCAACTCCAAGGGCAAAACTGACCATTGTACATGGCCTTTGTGGACCTAACCAAAGCATTCGACACAGTCAGCAGAGCAGGTCTATTTGTAATACTAGAAAAGATAGGATGCCCACCAGCCCTGTTATGTCTTATATGTTCATTCCACAGCAACATGAGAGCAACTGTCCAGTTTGATGGGTCCACTTCAGACAGCTTTGAGATGAAAAGCGGAGTGAAGCAAGGATGTGTTCTTGCCCCTACACTCTTTGGAATCTTCTTCTCAGTACTTTTGAACTGTGCATTTAAGTACGTGAAAGATGGAGTGTATCTCCACACAAGATCGGATGGGAAACTTTTCAATCTATCATGACTTAACTCAAAGACCAACGTCAAAAAGGTGCTAATAAGGGAACTTCTATTCACTGATGATGCTGCCCGCATAGCCCATGATGAAGATCTACTACGGGAAATCATGGGCCACCTTTCAAGTGCTTATCAGGCATTTACTCTCACCATCACTATTAAGAAAACTGTTGTATTAGGACAGGTAGCTCCACAAGATCCTTCCATCACCTTAAATGCAAACCAGCTAGAAGTAGTCCAAAAGTCCAGCTATTTAGGTTCTACAGTGACCACCAACCTCTTACTGGATGAAGAACTAAATGTTGGAGAGGCATTGGAGAGGCTGCCATCACCTTTGGCAGACTAACTAAGAGCGTGGAACAACTCAAAGCTTACGATCAAGACCAAAATGCTAGTGTACCAAGCTTGTATCCTCAGCATTCTCATGTATGGTGGGGAAACATGGACAACGTATGCTCATTAGGAGAAAAGGTTAAACAGTTTCCACCTATTCTGTTTACGCCGCATACTCAGCACCAAATGGCAGGATAAAGTCACCAACACAGAGGTTCTTCAAAGGGCAAATTTACCAGTTGTGACAGCCCTACTCAAGCAAAGATGACTGCGCTGGCTGGGCCATCTGAGTAGGTTGGAAGACGGATGCATACCCAAGGACATGATATATGGAGAGCTATCAGAGGGAACAAGAACAACAGGACATTCCAAGCTTCACTACGAAGACAAATGCAAGTGAGAGATAAAGGAATTTGGAATTGATCCTGACCAATGGGAAATCTTGGCAAGTGATCATAAAAAGTGGCACCATCGTCTCCATCAGGGTATCAAAGTCCATGACAGAAGCTGGCTCCTACAGCTTGAAGACAAAAGAGCCTGTAAGAAGCAAGCAGTTCCCAATCAAGATACATACATTTGCAATAACTGCCAAAGATCATGCAAATCTTGGATTGGACTATTCAGTCACATGAGACATTGCAAACCATCTACATCATAGACGGCAATTCCCACTGTCTCTTGTAGACGAAAGGATGCTGACATGACAGTGACTAAAGTAAGGTTTCCATTCCTTCTTGTGTAACATCAACAGAATGCTGGATATGATTCAATCATGGTTTAATCTGTAATAACTAATTGAAGACAATGGAATTTCACAAGTCTCACCAAGGGCTTAATTGGAAAACAGTGGGGTTGCCCAGTGATAACAGGGCCTAATTCAACCTATAGAACTTTTATTACTGATGTTGATTTGAGAGAAGGAAAGAGCCTGGTTTGAATCTCAGATCTCAGGCAGTCTTTGCCGGGTTGGTGGTTATAAAGATGGAAGCTCTCAATGCCGTTTTACAGTGTCGTTTTTCCAAGCACAACACCACTTTAAATAATCAAAAACACCTCCCTCCTGTGCTCAAATGCATCTTTTCTGTGTCAGCGAGAAACAGATAGATAGCTCCTTTTAGCATTTGATCAGCCAGCTTGTGTGCTGTGAATGCTGCTTATTCCCCTGGACACAACCATCACACTGTTTCCTTGTGGTCTCTCCATCTGTTTGTCATATCCCCCACCTCTTATCACAGCTTAGATTGTAAGAGCTTCAGGCCGAGACTCTATTTTGATATCTGTTAGCACAGCACCTAGCATGATAGGGTCCTGCCTTCATGCCGCTACTGCAGTGCACATAACAAATGTCAAAGATAATAATAATTTCACTAGGGTTTATTGTATGCCAGAGGAATTTCCCACGTTTGCTATACTGCCTGACCTGTCGGTGCACATCACCTTGCTGTGATGGTAAGTGGACTATTTTGAGAACTCTCAGTCTTCTCCAAATATTTACTCCGTTAATGAAGTTCAGATCATACTATATGGTTCCCTTTGCCTGAAAGAGCATAGTATTTTTTACATAGATTCTGTAACAGTTTCTTCTGGCTAAATTCAGTCTGTTTTGTGGGATTATAATTTATCCCCCCCATAGTCTACAACATCATTCTCTAATCTCCGCCCCTCTCCCACTGACATCCCACCCTTCCATTTATTTATTTCCCTTCTGACGTATACCTCCTAGCCTTGAGGTTCATGTCATGATCACCATTTTTTAAAACATGATCGGGATTCCTTTGGGAGCCATTAATATTCTTGAGGCTACTGACTGATGCAAGACATGCCTTCCTCAGGAGTTTAGTACATTACCTGAAGAATATTCCCGACCCCTTCAAAGCCACAGAGCAAGAAATTAGAAGTGGGAAATGAACCTAGAAGGTCTCCTACATGGCAGAACACAATCACTAGATTACCAGTCTTACATGGTCTTGATCTTGAATAAGTCCCGCTCATCCCTGATTGAAGCAAGCAAAACTCTTCCATTGCTCGGCACGTAATTTGTCCCAACTCAGTAAAAAACAAAACAAAAATCTTTGAAGACAATGTGCAATGTGATCATGAGCTTTGTTAGTTCTTTATCAAAATTGATTTTGACCGTAGCTATGTGCAGTGAACACTGTCTTAAGCAGCCACAGCATGGCAGAAATATACATGAGGTGTGAAGGCAGAAGTATATGCATATGAGCTCATAAACATAGCTAGTGCCTTCATTAATAAACCATGGGTCAGAGAGGTGTTGGTCAGTGGGAGGAGCAGTTTAACATTATTAAGGGAACATCGTATGTAAAGAAAAAAGTCCTTGAGTTTCTCATTGTAAGCCCAGGGGAAGCGCTGAGGCAGGAGGAGTCCCACATCACAGATCAGGGTATTTAAATTCCTGGTGATTTTTCATAGAATTCTGCCAGGCTCAATCCCTACCCATGGGGGGAAGAGTTCTCTCTTCAGTTGAGTAACCTTATGGCCCAAAAAAGACTATGCACATCCATGGAAGAGAAAATCCTTTCCAAGCAGAGCAGTAGTAGTATGCTGCAAAGAGACAGTGCATTTGCATTATTTGCTCACGTTCTTTCTCAGCCTTGGAGTCTCCTAAAGTCTTTTTTTGCGATGGCTCCAAAGGCACGGTGTGTTGCAGAGCTGCACTATGTAGCTTTTTGCTTCCCAGTGCATGGTAGTTTTGGGACTTCTGTGGGCAGGAAGAGGGTCAGAAGATTTCACTCTAAGGAAATGACAGCTCACCTCAGAATGGTGAGAACACCAACCCTAGCTCGCTATTTGTAGATGGCATGGGAAACTAACCTTTGCATCATGTTCCAAGCAATCTAAGTAGTAGGATAGTAGGAATGCTTTAATATCTTTTTTTTTTTTTGCAAATGCAATTTTTCTTCTCCTTTGCCTCCTGGTGCATGTTTATGTTTCTGATTTGATATTACAGCACTTAATTTAAGAGGCCCAGACATTCCAAACATTCTAATTATAATTCTTATGCACTTCTTAAAGTGACATTAGTGTTTGTGTGTTAATCTACAAGGGGAGCTCTATAGAAAAGAATTTCGGAATGTGGACATCTTTTGCCTTCTACATTTTTAAGTTTTATTATATCTAAATTGCATTTAAGCAAAGCCAGACATTTACAAAACAAAATACTGAATATATATATGTAGATACAATATGCATTCTTGGTTTTTTGGGTGGGGGACAAAGGTGGATTAGTAGGATTGCTGGTTCAAGTCCTAACCCAGCTACTGATTTACTGTGTTCCCTTGGGCAAGTCACTTAGGGACAGATTTTCAAAGGTAGTTAGGTGCCTAAAGATGCAGATAGACACCTGGGCCTTAATCAATGGAAGCTAGGAGCCTAAATACCTTTGTGGATGTGGGCCCCAGTGGGATTTTCAAAAGTACATAGGTGCATAACTCCCATGAAAATCCCACTAGATGCCTGTTTGCATCTTTAGGCACCTAAATATCTTTAAAAATCTTAATCTCCCCATCTGTAAAATGATGAGATTGTGGTGAGCATTGATTAATGATTGTAAAGAGCTTGGAAATCAATAGGAAATTTTTTTTCTACAGCAAGGACCCACAAATGTGCTGATTTTCTTAAATAACTAATTACTTGTAGCTGGAGGAACTTAGCATTTGCAGTGTTTAAGGTATTTCCTATAGCAAGCACAGGAAACTGTAACGGCAAAATGCAGATAATTAGGTAACCTTGTCTATTTATCAGAGGGAAAACTGTCAAGTTTTAAGATCTGCCATTGTGTTAGTGCAAAGTAATTGTTATCTGAAAACAGTCAGACTAAAGAAGCTGCATCTATTTAGTTGATCTAAGAAAAGGTTAAGAAATGTCATAGTCATGACAAATTCAGATTGGAAGTAAAAAGCACATTTTTAATAGTGAGGGTAATTAACTGTGGGAACAGCTTTCCCAGGGATGTGGTAGATTCTCCATTACTTGAAGTCTTTAAATCAAGATTGGATGTGTATTTAAAATATATGCTTTATCTCAACCTGAAGTTACAGGCTTGATGCAGGAATTCAGGATGAAATTTGAGGGGCTTGTGCTATGAAGGAGGTCAGACTAGATGATCAGAGTCATCCCTTCTGGCTTTAGAGTCTATGAACCGTCACTGATTAGTGGCTGATTTGACCATTTGTACTATTGACGACTGACTTTATTGCATTAAACAAAGATGATTGGTGGTGCCACAGAGTAGTAATTTACTAATTATCACTATTTCTTCCATGTGTTTTTATGCATGGGATGCCCTCCCTGAACTAGTCTGTACCCCCACCACCTTCAAATTCCTCCTCAAGACCCCGATGCCTATCAAAACCTGACAGCTATTAATGGGTGCACAGAGAGCCAGTCTGAGATAGTTATTTTGAAAATGGTTTGTCGTTCTTCCACATCTTTGATTTGCTGCTAAGCTCCTTAGATTTTTGAACTCTTTGGGTCAGTGACTGTTTGGAAGGTGCCTAGCATATTGTGGTGACGTTTGTAATACAGATACTATACAACAAGAATGCTGCATAATGCAGCTTGGCCTATGCTTTGCTTTTACTTAGCTGTTTAATAAGTACCATTTTGTTTTGTTTTGTTTTCCAGTCCCTCAAGTTCACGCCCTCCCACTCCTAAGAGCGATTCAGAATTAGTCAGTAAATCCTTGGACAGGGGGATGCAGAAGAATAACCCACAAATGCACTGGGCCTGGGGAGAACTACCTCAAGCTGCAAAGGTATCAAACATCACTCCTGTTTCATTCCTTCCAATATCTACTGTGTATTGTTAATAGGGCACATGTACATGCAGGTGCAATATTTCACATAGCTGATATATGTGTTTGATTTTAGGCTTTTACTTCATACAGGCAAATCAAAGTCAGGATTAAGAGCTGAATTATGTTGAGTCTTGAAAGATGAGGACAAGAAATTAATATCTAATGAGATAGAGAAGGGGGAGCCAGTGAGGAATTCAAAAGGGGATGGTGATGCGATTTGATGGATGGGCTAGGAAGATTGCTTTAGAGGCTGCAGTTGGGATGGGCTGGAGAGGGCATTGTGGACTTTTGGAATGAATGTCCAAGAGGATGAGGTTGCACTGATTGATATGGGAGATGATGACAACTTGGACAAGAGTTTAGCTGTTGGAACAGAGTAGAAGGGTTGGATCTTTAAAGTATTGCAGGGGAAGAAATGGCAAGTTAGGGGCTTGGCCTAGACAGGAAATATTTATGTAGGCAAACATTTCTGCTAAATGAGGAAGACTTTGCATGTAAACACTTTGTGCACAGAATTAAAGGTACTTAATGTTGTTCATATTTGTTACTGACTGAAATAGAGAACATTCCTGGCCAAGTTTTCATGAAAAAAGTGACTAGGTATTTTGGGTGCCCATCTTGAAGTATGTTAAAGGGAGCTGATTTTCAGAAAGTTCTGGGCACCCACCTTCTGACAGTCAGGCCCTTTCAAGGGGTCTGCGGATGGGCACCCAAAGTCACCAGTTGATTTTGAAATTCATAGCCCCACCTGTAACTGGTTATAGATAGCGAGAGACATCAGTGACTGAAACAACCAGGTACAAAAATGCTATGTCCCACAATTGCCCTATGGACAGATGATGCAGAATAAAATTTTCAAAAGTGCCAAAGTGACTTAGGAGCCTACGTCCCATTGAAAGTCAATGAGACTTAGGTTCCAAAGTCACTTAAGAGGTTTTTGAAAATGTTACCCATATATCCAACTAAGAGGCATCTTTACTATGGCTTTGTAAGCATATGGATCACAACTATTAATTTTATGTAAAGTATTAGAGCTGCATAACAGTGAGTGAGCGCTGAAGTAAATGCAGCGTTTGGCACTCGGGGTATGGCAGCGGATGGTGCATGTCTAGCTGTTGCATATTCTAACCAATAGGCTGACTCTGACATGACAGCCTTGCGGTGTGTATGCCTTGAACGTTATCATAATCAAGACTCAAACTAAGATCCGGGTGGTCTGTTGGCAGCTGCTCTACTAAGCAGCAGCGCTACCAAGTAAAGAAAAACGGGGCTTAGCTCCTGGGCAGGCTAATAGGAGTGGTTCTGAGCATGGCTTCTCAGAGAATCACTAGGAGCCACCATTTTTATTAGAAGTGTTTGTTCACTAAAGTCCCAGGGTTGTAACCACTGAGTGCAACTCCCCTTCTGAAATCAACAGGAGTTCTGCAGACAGAGCATCTATTTAATTGGGCTGTTAAGAATGAGTGATTCAACTAACTGAGATTTCCAGCTGTAGCTGGTTTACTTGAGAATCAGCTTTTAGTGGGCATGGAAACGATGAGTGTTACGGGCCCTATTCCGCTTCCTAGGAGATGCAGAATGCCTTCACCTCCCATTGAAATCAAAACCATACAGGGCAGTGGAAAGTAGAGCTTTGTGTGAATAGACCAGGCTAAACTCTGACTATTTTGTGTCCGATGAAGTGAGCTATAGCTCACGAAAGCTTATGCTCAAATAAATTTGTTAGACTCTAAGGTGCCACAAGTACTCCTTTTCTTTTTGTGAATATAGACTAACACGGCTACTTCTCTGAAACCTGTATTTTGTGTCTGGTTCTCTCTTTTTCTCAAGGGCTTTCATTATACTGATCTGTTCATTTTTTCTCCTAGTCCACTTCTCTACTCAAGGCAAAGGAATCCAGCATGGTGAATGTAAATCCTTCGGAAAGCACTCATTTTCGGGTAATTCAAAGTGAGTCTGCAGAGGAGATAAGCAGCTTGACTGCTTTACCTACCATTGGACAGGCAGCTGTTGCGACTTCCGATGAAAATGACTCCCAGCCAGCGCCAGCCGAGATAAGTGAACCAGAGATAGAGGCTCTAGGAGCAGCTGCACCATCACTGCCTGAAAATGAAGAAATCAAACAAGCTGCAGCTTGCTTAGTCCAGCAAGCAAGCAAAATAGATTCCCCTTCTAGAAAGAAAGGTAAAGCAGTTGCTCCTGCAAATCCATGCACATGATATTGCACCAAGATCCCACAGTGATTAGGCACTTTGTAGCCAGATGAACTAATCCATAAGATCAGAGCATTTCTGGAGAGCCTGAAAGGAGAGCAATATGCCTTTTAACATAAACAACAGTTGAGCATGTATGTGTGGAGTGGGTTTTTTCAAAGAGAGCTGGAATGACAGCGAGAGAAATAATTTTCTTCCTTGGTTATTGTACTTAGCAGATCTGTGCAGATAAGCAGCGCTGCAAAACTTGTAGTAAATTCTTCCCTATTTTACAAACCCACGGGTTGCAGAATTTTGTGGTCTGAGCTACAGGTTTCCTTTTCAGCTGTACCAGTAGTCTGCCCTACAGCTAAACCGTGCCACTGCTAGCTTGTGGAATGTCTCAGCCGCCAAACAAAGTTGCAACATGTCCTTTGCTTAAACATCACACATACCACAAAGCAGAATGGTCCAGTCACACACAAGGAATTTCTGTTGTGTTCAGAATACACATAATCTTCAATTGGAATATAACTGTGTCCATTTTATTCCTCTCTAATTTCCAAAGATGATGCTAGATTGTTTTCTGATAAGGGATATAATCTCCACGTGAAGTTTACACATTCATAATATGTATTTTGGTAGATCCCAAATTCTCCAGGGTGCTGGAGTCTTTACATGAGCAGACATTATTACAGATACATTTCTCAACCAGTTCCCCAGGGGTTCCGTGTCTGTGAAGGTAAGATTGAGGTGTTCCATCTAGTATGCAATCATTTGTGGTCCTTCACTTGCCTTCCTTTGATTAGTCGTCGGAAATTCAGGGAGTGAATTGTGTGTTTTGAGTAAAGGATGCAAACTGGAGGTCACAGCTCTGAGTAAGACTCTCAGGATTTCACCCTCTGTGCAGTCACTCTTATAGAAGTGGCTACAGCAGGAAAGCAAAGATGGTTCAGTGGCCATGTCACTGACCTAGGACTTGGGAGACCTGTGTTCCAGTCCCTGCCCTTTGTCACGAGGAACAAGTCACTTAGCAGCTCCGTGCCTCAGTTTCCCATCTGAAAAATGTGAACAATAGCACTTCTACCTGGACAGATATGTTCCGAGTCTAAATATATTAGAGTGTGTAACATGCTCAGATAACATGGTGATGGGGGCCATATAAGTACCTAAGATAGGCTGTTAGAATTTAAGGCTAGAAGGGACGATCGTGATCATCTGGTCTAGCCTCCTGCACATTGCAGGTCACAGAACTTCATCCACCCACTCTTGTAATAGACTCATAACAGAGAATCCACCATGTACACTAGTTTAAACCAGTAAGTGACCCGTGTCCCATGCTGCAGAAGAAGGTACAAGGAGCCCTCTAGGGTCTCTGCCATTCTGACCTGGGGGAAAATTCCTTCCCTCTCCAAATATGGTGATCAGTTAGACCCTGAGCATGTCAGCTAGACACACCAGCCAGGGAAAAAATTCTCTGTAGGAACGCAGAGCCCTCCTCATCTAGTATCCCATCTCCAGCCGTTGGAGATATTTGCTATTAGCAGTCACAGATGAGACACAGGCCATTGTAAGCAACCTCACCATTCCATCCCCTCCATAAACTTATCAAGCTCAGTCTTGAAGCCAGTTAGATTTTTTTGCGCCCCCTGTCCTCCTTGGAAGGTTGCTCCAGACCTTCATTCCTCTGATGGTTAGAAACCTTAATCTAATTTCAAGCCTAAACTTGTTGATGTCCAGTTTGTATCCATTTGTCCTTGTGTCAACATTGGTGCTTAACTTAAATAATTCCTCTTCCAGCAAAACCACACCATTGTAAAGTTTCTTTTGGTCCCTCACCTGTTAGGTATCAAAAAGAGGTATCCAGGTTAGGTATCCCAATGAGACATCACGTGTAGCCGGCATTGACTTCAGTTGGAATTGTGGGTGCTCAGCACCTCTGAAAATCAGCCTTTTGGTGTCTCACTAAGGCATAGAAAATCAGTGGCCAGTTGTGAAACTATTGGCCTTGCAGTTTTGTCTCATTGTAAATAATCCTTTTTTCTTTTAACTATGAATTGTGTGCACATGCTTTATGTGCTTTATAGCTCCTTAAGATGTAAGGGTTTTTTTAATTCTTGTTGTGTATTTGGAAGACACCAATTTATTATTTATTTACTCTGTGTTTGACAGATAAACGAAGCCGGCATCTTGGTGCTGATGGTGTCTATTTAGATGATCTCACCGACATGGATCCAGCAGCTGCTGCTCTTTATTTCCCCAAAAAGTATAACTATTTATTTGGATTAGACTATATTAGTTAAATCTCCATCTTCTCCCATCAGATTCTTAGCAGGTCTCGTGCCAAGATTATAGGAATACCGGCTGTAAGTAACATTCAGCTAAATGAGAGTCTAGGTCAAAAAAGGATGTTAGGAAGGATACCTAAAATTATGCAGAGAAAAGATGGGATTCTTGAAACTTTGTAACAGATCTATACTTGTTCATAAGAAATGTGATAGAAAATGCGAAGCATTATATACTAGTCTCAGACTGCTGTGCAATTTCGTTAACGTTATTGGGTGTTATACTGCCCTTGATCCATGAATATATGGCTCTTAGCATAAAAGATATATACACAATATGCTTTTCACCTTGTTTGTTACCTGAAATCACCTAAAGTTTAGTATTATTAATATCATTATATTACTCTAACTGTACTATAGTGATTGACCACCTAGAAATACAAATACAAATGATAGAAAATTATTTTTGGATGACACATATGATGCCTTTATTTATGACAATGTGTTTTCTCCCCAGATATATCATTATCATTTTGGTTTAATTTCCATTAGAGTTTCTTTTAACATTTGTATGATCCTCTTCCCAGATCATACTATAGTGTGTTTACAGTTTGGGTTTGGGCTTGTGAAGGGAGAGAATTTGGGAATGATACAGATCAGAAAACAATGAGGACTGAAAGACTGTTCTCCCCCTCCTCATCCCCACAGCGGTGATAATATTGCACACGGAAAGAATGCAAATGAAAATGGACCACGGTCAGCCAATCAATCCCCTCACTCTGGTGGAAGTTCAGGTGTTGACAGTGGTGTTGAAGGCATCTCGGATGGTATAAGAGACTTGCCTTCAATTGCCATTTCACTCTGTGGAGGTCTTAGTGACAACAAAGAGATAACAAAAGGTACAGAATGATCCTATACCTTATGATTACATGTTGTTAGTCAACTCTCAACTCCTGTTAAAAAGGAAACAGTACCCTCTTGTGGCTAGAGGTAGGAATTTAAGGCTGAGGGAGTATGTAGCTCTTCTCCTTTGCATAAAAATGTCAAGTTCTGGGGTTATTAATACTATATTACTGATTTTAACTTAATGTAATATATTTTGGAAATTACTGTATTTACAGGTTCACTTCATGCAACTGTAATAAAAGGGTGCATTTGCTGTTTATTATGCCTATTACTGTGGTGTATAATTGATGATAAATTCACAGCTGTCACTACCATGGGCAGGTAGAATGGCCCAATGGTTAGGGTGCTAGCTTGGGCCTCAGAAGGCGTTGGTTCCATTTTCAGCTTCGGCACAGACTTCCTGTGTGATCTTGGACAAGTCATTAGTTTCTCTGCACTTTGGTTCCCCGTCTGTAAAATGGAGATAACACCTCTTCCCTACCTCTTAGGAGTGTTGTGTGGATAAATACATCAAAGACCTTGAGGTGCTCAGATACGAGTCCTGGGAGCCATTGAAATATCTAAGACTGACACTGCTCTGAAACTAGAAGTTTTTTTAGAAACTATTTAGAAACTAGAAGTTAAAATATTCCATACAGAGGGTAATTTATGATAAAGTAGTTCTATTTATTATATTGTTAATAATCCAAATAATTGTGATCCTTGAAGGCAAGGAGGGGAAGGGGGTGTTTGTCCAGGAGGGTGCATTTTCATTTTCCTCCAGGCCCTGCAAGTATTGATTAGGTTTCTGGCTGGGGCTGTAGTTCTGCATCGAGTCCATCAACACCTGTTCCCTAATTAGCCAGAGAAGGTCACTGAAGAGGTACATCCTTTCCCAGGAGTGAAAAGCCTGATCCTGCAATGTGCTGATCACCGTAGCTTTCATTGAGCACCTCCTGTGAGGAGTTAAGGGCACTGAGCAGCTCACAGGAAATACTAAGCACTTGCAAGATTGGAGATCTAAGCCCTGTCTCCATAGTACTGCTAGTCTCTGCCACCCGTGTCGTGAAGGACTGATCCTGAGCCTGCAGCTTAGCTCTTCAGGATGTTTTAATGCTAGTTATAGGGGGTAGGTTGTCCCATTGCAAGTACTGTATTTATGGGAGTATGTTTTAAATATTTCCAACAGATCAGTTCTTAGAACAAGCAGTAACGTATCAGAAGTTTGTGGACAATCCTGCTATCATTGACGACCCCAACCTTGTGGTTAAGATTGGAAATAAGTAAGTACATTTCAGCAGGCAAAAGTCTGGAATGTGGAAAAAGTACTTGCAAATTTTTAGTGCTACCCTAGGGCTTACACCAGCTGCACCATTGCTGAACAAATGGGTACTCATTTTTCTACTGTAGATTAACCCTGAGAGATTCAAAGCCAGTTATAGTTAATTAAGTAACTAATTTGGATTTCAAAGAGCTAGTATTGAATGCTGACAGTGTTCACACTCAATACCTAGAGTAAAAATAAAATGGACTATAAACCTTGCTAAGACATTCATTCAGTACAACTGAATGATGAATACTTATGGGGAAATCATGATCGGCCTGTGGCCATTCTATATGCAGAGAAAGAACCTACATCCACTGAATATATTATTCCCTCATCTCTCTGCTGACTCATTTTGTGATTTTGGACAAGTTGCTTAATTTCTTGCCTTGATTTCCTGATCTGTAAAATGGGGATAATACCACTTACCTACCTCACAAGGGTGTAGTGAGAAGAGGACTAATTAGGGAAGTTCTGATTAGGTAAGATGCTGGAGACCTCGAGTGTGATGCTGTGCAGACCTCACTCTCATGGGTAGTTGGGCGGCACCACTGAGGATTTAGCTTCCTAAGTGCCATAGGAGTTGCAAGCCCTCAGCACACCACAGAAGAAAGTCAGCACCTCACAGAACTCAAACCTGAACATTTTTACAGTGCCTTGAAGGGGCAAAGAGCAACACAGGTGTCTTGTAGAAAATGTAGGTCCCTGAGCTATGGTGCAGATATGAGGAATGGATGAGAAATACAGTTTCTGTTTGGGGCTTAGCTTTTCTTTCATGATCTCCTATGTGTCTTCTCCTCCTGTGGAATTGTGGTATAGTAAATATGCACTGTCCTTGTACTGGAAAAGCTTTCACATTAGGTACGTACACAACGGAAGCGCCAAAGTGAGGATAGATATTTGGGAATTTGGTCACCCTTTATACCAATTCAGAGGAGGAGGATTCCCCAGCCAGCAAGCCAGAGTCTTTAACCAGGTTCTTTGAATATTAACCTCATCCTGAATAAGTAAAGTATAATGTTAACATTTTACTGGAACTTTGCCTTAATAAGTAGACACAACCAAAGTAGTCTAAGTAGGACATAGATTTGCAGATCCAAATCTGAACTTCATGGCTTTATTCTTTAGTTTAAGTAAACTCCATTGCTTTAACTGACTGTGCAATTACTGTTAGGCTGTGGATGGGGATCGATGGTATTACAAAATGTAACAGTACACAAACTTTTTTGATTTCCAGGTACTACAACTGGACCACAGCTGCTCCACTTCTACTGGCAATGCAAGCATTCCAGAAACCTTTGCCAAAGGTGAGATTGAACATGAAAGTCAGTTGGGAAAGCATGAGCTGTGGCGTTTTTCATTTCATGAAAAATTGAAATTAATAGGCAGCAGGTTTAAAACAAACGGAAGTATTTTTTCACACAACGCACAGTCAACCTGTGGAACTCCTTGCCAGAGGATGTTGTGAAGGCCAAGACTATAACAGGGCTCAAAAAAAGAACTAGATAAATTCATGGAGGATAGGTCCATCAATGGCTATTAGCCAGGATGGGCAGGGATGGTGTCCCTAGCCTCTGTTTGCCAGAAGCTGTGAATGGGTGATGGGATGGATCACTTGATGATTACCTGTTCTGTTCATTCCCTCTGGGGCACCTGGCATTGGTCACTGTCGGTAGTCAGGAGACTGGGCTAGATGGACCTTTGGTCTGACCCAGTATGGCCATTCTTATGTTCTTATGCATTTTAGATGCAACAGTAAAGGGGAGCCTTTGAAAAACCTAATATATTTAGAGAGAGAGAGAGAGATGGATGCTGTAGCTGAACTCTGCTTCTCATCTTTCTAACCACTAATAGAACTTAGATTTGATTGTGGTTTGTCTTATAATATCCCTTATCACCTACACAATTTTGCACTGATCTTTGGAGAGGAGGGGCAAAATCAGGCTTACAGTGGAAAGCTGGTTGCAACCTTAAATGAGGAGAGGCCATCATATATTTCCATAAAAATGTCTTTCTCCCTTAGTAGTCCTATAGGCAGGTTGCAAAACACCACTGACACCCTTGTAGTTTTAGTGGAGAGGCCAAGGGCTCATGGGTGTGCAAACGAAATCCTTTCACCCTTGGAAATGATCACTCCAAATCATGGATCAGACACGTTGGGTGTTGAGTTATTGAAGGGAAGTATGCGCTGTTGCCCTCCACACTGTATCTCTGGATAAATAACTGTTGGGTCTAGTCCTTGTCAATCCAGCATGTGTCATCTCTAAATTCCTATAAAAATAGTAACCCCACTACTCCCCACAAAGGGATGATAAATTTTTTACAAATGTTAGTTTTATTTTAGAGAGAGTAACCCACCATCTTTCCCTTTAGTTTGTAGCCTTTGCACCTGAGACCTCTTCCAAAAGCTGATCACCTGTTTTTTTATATTTTTTGTAACTTACAATTTTCATTAAACAACCTCAAATCAGACGATTATTTACCCATGCTAGACATTATACTAATGCCATTTTATGCTTTCTTTTTCTTTTTTGGTTTGACCTCCTTTTCTTTTTCCTTTAAAAACTCCTCAAGTATTCGTGCTTCAGTTACTTCAGTGCAGTTCTGGATGCCATTAGGTTTTGCTTTTATAAAATTTATGGCCCACAGACAGTATGTTTCCTTTTCTTCTGTTTATCCTTGGTTGAAATTGTGTTCCTCATTTTCCTTTGTTTGCATGTGTCAGGTTGTCCCTTTCTTTTGTTCCATTATTTATGTTACCATCCATTTATCACAGGCCACTGTGGAATCTATTATGAGGGATAAGATGCCCAAGAAAGGCGGAAGATGGTGGTTTTCATGGCGAGGAAGGAATAGCACTGTCAAAGAGGTAAGTTTAAAAAGCAGGTGGAGGTAGTTTTTGTCAGAGGTTTGAATCTCATGTAGCTTACATATGCATCCTCTAGAGGTTGTGCTTCTACAGACAGGACACACACAAGAAAGGCATTTAATCCAAAACCCATAAGTCAACAGAAAGACTCCTATTGACTTCAGTGGATAAGGCCCTTAGCTAAAACATTTGTCTATTTCACTTCTACATTTGTATTCACTGCATCTACCTTTGGCAGCATAATCTGATAGATTAGTCAGGGACATGGGGACCAAGAACTGCTGAGTTCTTATCCTGGCTGTGCGATTAACTTAATGTATGTCATTGGGCAAGTTGCTCACCCTTTCTACAGTTCTGCTTCCACATTTGAAGGATAATAATATTTATTACTAGAGCTTGTTGGAAAATTACAGCAAAAGCTAAATTTGGATGAAAAAATAAAAGAAATGTGTTTCCTCACTTTTTGTTAATCCCTCAACAGCCCATTTTTCAACAATCTCTGGGGACTGGGTGCTTTAATTATATCTTCAAAGCTGTTTATGAACATTGAAGCACTGTGTAAGTGCTATAATAACCACTGTTCTCTTGCCCATTCAACATACTTAATCTCTAAAACTTCTGATAATCTGTCTTCATTTAATTTTTAAAAAGTTGAAATATCTGATACTTGAGTTTTCTAAATTTACATAAAATAGACACTCTTGTGAACTTTAGTTATGAGCTTCATATAATTTTTTTTTCTTGCCATATTCTTCTGCAACTTACTGAATTCTATGACTGCCTTCTTGGAAGTGTTCCCTTGTAAACTGAGCTGTGACAGCTGCAATTGGGTAGAAAAAGCTTTAGTTATTGCTGTCCATTTGTTTCCATGATAGCCTCGTGTAACTTTCATCATTTGAGATGAAATTGTCAGAGCTAAGTCTGCCCAAAATAGGTTTGGTTAGCAGATTTTGTTAATGGAGTTTCTGAGCAGTGAGTGTCTACTGGTCCCACAATTGCCACCAATTCTTGCCATTTGAAATCCGCCCTCTCTCTGTATCTGCCAAAGAAAAACAAATTTCAGTTTCTGCTGTGGTTGATACTTGCGAGTATTATAGTGCTCTGTGCAAAAATTTTCGTACAGTAAACCCTTGATTTTTTTTTTTTAATCATATACATGCACAGAACCAAGTCCTGCTTGCCTTTCTCACATTTATAGACTTGGGGAAAGCAATAGGAATACCTGCATGAGTGAAGCAAGCAGGATTTAGCCAAAAAGATTATTTCCTTTAAATTTTTCCTCTTTCTGTCTACTATGGAATTCACAACTTCTCATATCTGTGTTTTAGGAAACCAAGCCAACACAAGATTTGAGTGGGAATGTGCTTACTACAGAAGAGGAGTTATCACAAATGAGCATTGCAGAAAGGTGCGCAAAAAGAGGGTTGTAGCCAAAGTAACTCTGGATCATTTAAAAATGAAAGCAGGATACTTCAAGTTTTTCAATGGCAGAGCAGGGGAAGTAATGAGATCTGGTTGAGATTTGTAATCTGTTATGCTATCCTATCTCTATATTTGATCCTTTAATGTTGGTGAAATTCACCCATGGTAAAATCCACTTCACCTCCATAAAGCCTAAGCCAATGAAGTGTGGGGGATTCTATCTAGGGCCAGGTTGTGGGTCTGCAGTACTTTAATGAGCCTTTTCCAAACTTAAGTCTGTAAAACTGGACTTTCTTGTTCTGGCATCTCCATGACTACTCTCTCTCTCCTTATATGTTAGCCCTTCTGTTTTCAATCCTAGCCATATGCAGGAAGTTTAGAAGCACCTACAAATAAATAAAAATCGGGCGGATGTTTCCAAAGCTTTTTGCACCTCACTGAAATCAAAATGTCCTAGATCCTTGTAATATCCCCTGATTTATGAAGATTTGCAGTCTGACATCTCGCTGTTTGCTTCTACATACCTGAGGAGGCTCAGGAGCATAAGTTGTTCCTTTCAGAGGGATTCTTATTCCATCTCTGTCATGCAGGGGACAGGAAACTCCACAGCTTTCTATTACTTCTTCCAGGGAGAAGCAGAAGAAGGGTTTTCAAAGCCAGAAGATCCTCCTAATTTATGCGGCTCTTGTAGTATTTCTTGCTGGCCCCTGAATCTCCACTTAGGGAGGATTCTGCAGGGCCAGCATTAAGTTACCTGCTGAAGTCCCATGGGGATGAAGTAGCAGACAGTAGCTGTCTCCTGCCTGGTCTCCTTTTTGCACAGCCCAAATCCCATGGACGTACAACCGAGTGGCTTACCATGAACACGGCAGTGCCCGCTTCCGTGCTGTCCTCACTCAGATCTGCCAGAGTTGGAGAGGGGGTAGTAAGATCCAGATTCAGTTATAGCTTACACATGCCAAATTAGCTTGAGGTTTTTTGGAGGCTGACATTGCAATCCAGGAGAACTAGCTGGAATGAGGAGCCACCAGTGGTTAGTTTGTGCCAGGGCAGTACCCCAGCACCTCTAGGCTTGGCAGTTCACAGCTCCAGCACCTTTGCTGCATCAGTTATTAATGTAAAAAAAAATTGATTGAGCCCCAGCACCTCTTTCATTACAAATTAAGCACTGGGAGCCACCTTTTGTTTTGGAGACCAGAGACTGGCAGGTTAAATGTGTGGCACATACACTGCTGCCTCAATAACATACATTATCCCAAAACTGCAAGATCCATGAGTGGACCTGAGAGGACACATTCCTCATCAGTAATGTTTGGTTCTTTGTCCCTTACATGTTTGTTTAGAGACCCAGCCTTGAAGCAATATCGGAACTTCAATCACACTTCACTCTTTAATTACTGTTTCGTGTTTGAGTTTTAACGACTTCAGAAACAGATCAGGAAGGATTTGTCGCTGAAAACCATTCTGTGGTAAATAGAATATTGAGTAGCAAGCAGTTTTTAGGCCAGATATAGCAACCACAGAGTCAGGCGGTCTACAGCATTAAATGCTGCCCATCACAACATGCAGTATTTATGACACCAGGGTCAGGACTTCCCAACAACACGCAGACCCAGCTGTGACAGAAAACAATGTGAACGGTGATATATTAAAGATCACATTGGCAGTATGTTAAGAATATTTGAAACTACCACCTAATATGACAGTTCTGTTTACCATTAAAATTCTTTCTTATGTGAAAAATTTTCCTTGACAGGTTTTTAAAAACAATTATGGTAGGAAAAATAGTTTTATAATGATGCATACGTAAACTAATATAATGCGCAGGAACAAAAAGTTGTTGGCATTTCATTTTAACATTTTGAGTAGGGCAGTCCTGCCAGAGTTGTCAGTAAAAATATAATCCCATTGGCAAAAATTGCGGCTTTCACAAAGAATGGATGGTGCAGGTTATTTTCCATTAGAAAGTTGCATTAATCATGTTCTGGGTTTATTCTCTAATTGCTGAACTCTTCATAGATTAAATACATTCTTTTCTTTTCTCTTTTATTTCCTTAGAATGAAACTTCTTTGTAGTTGCTCACATTAGCGAACCGATTTTATACCTTGTTTGAGTTTTTTAATGAGTCAACATGGACTGTAATTTAAGTCTGTTAACTTAAAGTGACAATACTAGCATACAGACAAATGAATAGCTCGAAGAACCCAAATATGAATAATGGAAGACATGCATGAATGAGAATTCAGTACTTCATTGATATATTTCTAAAGTCATGTTGTAAATAACCTCCCAAGAGACAGTACTTAGAAGCAGAGAATCAATTGACTTATTCAGTGTCAGTGCTAATGTATTTTTAATGGATACCCAAATGCATTTACTGAGAGATGATAGCATCGTTTTCTGTCTGTGTGATGTTCCAGACTAAAGGATGAATCTTCTTCAAGTGATGAAGACCCGAGAGCTGCAAAACCAAACATTGGGTCATTACAAACAAACTCAAGTCATCTCTCATTATTATCAGGAATCAGTTACAAAAAGACCCTTCGACTCACTTCTGACCAGCTTGTGAGTTATTTTTACATATTCCTTCCGAAATGTCATTTCTAGCTCAACAGGCACAATGCAGTTATTCAGGCTAGCACAGGGTTAACAAACTCTTAGTATTTGTGCTGACTACAAGGCCTTATGAAATTTTAAAAAATGTCTTAATGTTTGAAGTAAATCTCATGCTTAATGGAAAAGGTGTTTATTGACAAATCAGGAGATTGAGGTCTTCCAAAAAGCAGCCTACAGTTAAACTCTGAAGTCTGCATTAAGACACCAAAATAAGGGACCTGGTTTGCTTAGCACCCAACAGTTCCCATTGCACCTGTCAGAAGTCTGTGAATCTTCTGTGTCATGGATGAAATTCTGTATCTCTAGGAGGCGTGGCACAGAACTGGCAGCCCAGGTGTGGATGTGAGTGGTGTTAAGGGACCTTTGTACCCTCTCTATCGGGTCTGCCTTTGGGATTGAAGAGGCCCTGGGAATAATTTAGACAGTGCTGGGGGACTGTCTAAGTTAGGGCAGCTTCCCTGAACTGCTTGACGGCTTGCAGTGCTGCCAGGAATTAGCACAGTGATGTGTGCTATGGTCCTTTCCCTGACAGTCCATCTGACTCTACTCCTGTCCCCAGCATGCCCCCATGCCAAGTTTTGTAAGGGAGTTCTCAGAGGACAGCCTTATGGCTGTTATGCACAAGAAGAATCCTCCACCAACTGGAAATGAGGCGTTTAAGCCTCCTTTATGCTGCTCCAGCTCTTTTACCTGGCTTAAAGGGGCCAGGCGCTCTGAGTGTGTGTGTGTGTGTGTATTTTTCTCTCTCTCTCTCCCTCCCCCCTCACACATGCACACACACAGAAGACAGCAGCTTCTAAAAGAGCTGTTTATTAATTTAGTGTGACCAGGACCATATTAATTTTCAGTTCCTCTGCACAGAGGCATTGTGACTAATGCTGATAAATACTGCTGTTGCTGTTCAAACCCAGGGTATTAATATTTGATCTGGAAAATATGGCTATTTAGGAAAATGCATTTTCTCACATCCACACACACAGCTAATTAATTTTCAGAAGTAAACATACTTGTGGAATACAACATTAGGCAGCCCACCACTCCCATGTGGCTAAATGAGAGTGTTCTCTGTAGATGGCAAGAGGTCCAGAATTTGCCTTAAGAGACAGATATGGTTTATTGGTCATATTCTGTAACAAATTGAGAGCAGGGATTTATAAATTGAGAGCAGGGGTATACAAAGCTCGGGGGGGCTTATTTTTCAGATGCAGTAGTTTTGCAGGGGCTTGAAGCCAGTCTTTTTTTGCTGCCATGATCGCTTCAGGCTGTACTGTGACACTGATTGCAAAGCAGAACTCCTTATTGTTTTTAATTCAGCTTATGAATCAAGGGCACAGCATGGCCCTTGCAGCCAAACTCTGCTTCCATTATTCAGTAGATAGTCCCATGACAGGAAGGAGATTAACACATGCCTAAGGCAATTAGCATTCTCCCATTTGTGTTTATACTATTCTGTCCATTTCACCTGCACAATTTGATCTTGCTAATAACGTTTCACAGAAAAGTCTAAAGCTCAAGAATGGCCCTAATGATGTGATCTTTAGTGTTACGACACAATATCAAGGCACGTGCCGCTGTGAAGGCACCATCTACCTATGGAATTGGGATGACAAGGTTATTATTTCTGACATCGATGGAACTATCACAAGGTAAGATGACAAACGAGGCAAGTTTTTACCTACCAGGCAATATCTCTTTCAGGCTCAAAAAATCGTTATTGACGTAGGGTTGGGGCAAGGGACCATTGTGTTCAGGATTTGAATTTTCATGTTTAACCTGCTTTTCCATTGAAGCAAAAAACAATCCTATTACATTGACTGGATTGTTAAAGGCTGGTATGTGCCATACTGTTGATCTGTTTGTTACTTATAGGCTTTTCTGTGGTGCTTATCACAGTAATATCTGTGCACCTCACACATTAATGAGTTCATTGTCACATCCCATCTGTGAGGCACGCTGGAGTGATGTTCATTCTGGTGTTAGAGATATGACAAATTCCAGAGCTAATCCAGTGGGACAAGGCAGTGTGATCTAGTGGACAGGACACCAGAATAGGAGTCAGGGGATCCGGGGTCTATATCTGCTACTGAGCTGATTGGGTATTGACTATGTCACTTCACCGTTTTGTGCCTCTGTTTCCCATCCCACCACCATGGTACACTCTGTCTGTCTTTTCTCTTTGGATTGTGAGCTTGTCAAGACAGGGACTGTCTGATTGTATCTGTGCAATGCCTTTCACAATGGAGCCCTCTGTCTTGGTTGGGGCCTCTGTGTGCTACATAACATAAATAGTAATACTAAATTCATTATACTTACAACGGGGAATGTCACTGGAACCAGTAAAGCTATTTCCCTTATTTTCTAGATGGTGAACTGAGGCCCAGATCCTCAAAGGAATGTAGGTGCCCTAACTCCCAGTGAAATCAATGGGCGCTAGATGCCTTTGAGGATCTGGACCAAAGGGATTAAGCTATTTGCCAAGGTCACACAAAAGATCTGTGCCATATCTTGGACTAAAACCCTGATCTCTTGAATCTCAGGCCAGTGCATTAGCCAAAAGACTATCAGCCCGCTCTGCTAGCCAATGAATGCTTAGGAGGGCATGTATCAGTACCACCTTTTCCTTAAAAAAAATTTGAAGTTGCCTCTGCCTGTTCTTTGGAAGTTATTTCTTGCAGTGCATTTGCTCTGTTTTTCCCCGTCTTTATTCAGGTCAGATACTTTAGGCCATATTTTGCCCACTCTTGGCAAGGATTGGACGCACCAAGGGATTGCAAAGTTGTACCATAAAGTGAGCCAGTAAGTATTCAGCAAATATTTGTGTTAATTTCTCTCAATTTAAATGCAAAACCAGATGCCTGTTCACAGCTCCAGGTGTCCAGCAACTATTTACAAGAATAGTGAATATAGGAAATGTGTAAATTACACTCACAACAGGAAATTGGACAGGATGAGTAGGATCAGGCTAAATGGTGAAGGACCTTAAAAGTGAGGACAAGAAGCTTGTGCTTGATGCAGTGATGAAGGGAGAACCTGTAGAGGGATGCAAAGAGCTGATGGGGGTTGGGGAGGAGGGAAGGTTGATGGCATCAGTGTCAGAGAGAGGATTATGGTAGTCAAAATGCAAGATAAGGGCCTTTGCTATGACAAAGCCCCACAGGTGGGTTCCATTTAAAGTAAGGTTGATGCAACATTGTTGCTGGATGCATAATGTCTCTTCTTAAGAGGACTCATTTCAGTAAATGGTGAGGGATGTGATGCAAATACACAGAGCCAGATTTTATGTGGGGGCCATACAAATCTCTGATATAGATTTTCCTCTTCTGGTATAAATCAGTGAATTCATTGGAGCTATGCAGATTTTTGCTGTCTGGCTTGTAATGTTTTTACTCCTTAGTAATAATTTGTGAGCTCTTATGGTTGAAAGAGGTTAAAGATCTGAATCTCTAATAGTCATGGCTTATGTCCTAGGCAAATAAAATATCACACAATTGTGAAAATGTCCAGCTTATTATTTAAAGTAATTTCTTCCTCGTTTGTTTGTTTGTTTGTGTAATAGAAATGGGTACAAGTTTCTGTATTGCTCGGCACGTGCTATAGGAATGGCAGACATGACGAGAGGATATTTGCACTGGGTCAACGAACGAGGAACAGTGCTACCTCAAGGACCTGTGTTGTTAAGTCCAAGCAGCTTGTTCTCAGCCTTTCACAGGTATCATTAGGTAGTAGCTTGTACCCAATACAAAATTCACCTCTTATGTGACCACTTTAAATTATTCTCAAAGTTTCCAATAGGAGTTGGTGCAGCCTTTCGTTGAAGACCAACCTCTAGTAGGCAATCAAAGTTTGCTAGTATCTTAGATGGTTACTTAAGACAGGTCTCATTTTACAGTGGTAGCCATTAAAAAAATCAGCATTTGCCAACAGATACCACCTGTTCACTACACAGTTACCATGATATTTCTAGTTATCGGTACTTTCATGAATGCTGACTTTTTAATGGCAATCAATGTGCAATGTCTGTCAGACAGTGTACATGTTTTATGTGAATTGTTTTTTACAGAAGACTTTTGATCAATTTCAGTGGTTTTTGACGAGCTGCTTAACAAAAATGTCACATTCAGTTTCATGTGGAAATGCATATTTTACTCAACCGTATCACAGAATATTATAAAGAGAATGTGGTTCTTTCTGATTGTGAAACTAAACTGTGTGGACACGGAAATCAAATATAATAAGTTTTTAAACACATAGCTTAACATGTCACACAGATAGTGAAACTAATATCTACTTTCTACTTCAATGAAGCTTGTTAAGTGACTGCTGAAAATATTGTGGGTTATTAAGTGCAGCAGGTCAAGAAGAGCTCTGCCCCTAGTTGGTTCCTCCAGCACTTGCACCAGGAAATTGTCCCCTACCCTTTCCAAAAACTTCCTGGATTGTCTGTGCACTGCTGTATTGCTCTCCCAGCAGATATTAGGGTGATTGAAGTTTCCCATGAGAACCAGGGCGTGCAATCTAGTAACTTCTGCGAGTTGCCGGAAGAAAGCCTCGTCCACCTCATCCCCCTGGTCCGGTGGTCTATAGTAGACTCCCACCACGACATCACCCTTGTTGCTCACACTTCTAAACTTAATCCATTCTTAGTGATAGATTTAACCAGCATGGCTTTTGGGGAGTTCTGGCTCAGGGTTTGTGTGGGTTGGGGAAAGGTGGCTTGCCTCCTTGATCCCTGAGTCATCTGGGGAGCTGCTTCAACTCCTGATACAATTTAGAGCTACCTGAAGGTTGGCCTAGCTTGTACTTGGCTGCCTGTTGCTCCGCCCATACAACTGCCAATAGCCAGAGTCCAACAGCACTCCAGCCATGCCTCAGTTTCCCTGGTAGCATTCCATAGGTGTGCTCCTGGGCTGGGGTCTGCTATGTGGAATGATGCAGGGCCAGCTACACCAATTCTGCACGTGCAGGATTCTCTCTCTCTCTCTCTCTCTCTCTCTCTCTCTCGGGAATTCGCTCGGGGACAACTCTGTCACCTGTTTGGTCCCATTTTGCCAAGAGAGGCAGTTGTGAAAGGGCTGCAGCCCAGAGATGAACTGGCTCCTCTATTCATTATTCCGTAATGAAGCACTAAAGAGAATTAGAAGATGCATTTGTCTTTACTTACCTCTAATTGTCATTGATGGATGACCTCGCCAGTGGAAGTAGCTTAATTGGAGGTAGTCCTTTGGATCTGGTACATGGTGAAATTTAAATCCCAGAGAGAGCGTAGAAAAGCTATACAAAGGGAAGGCCATTATAATCTATTGACCCATTCTGTAGTTTTCAGTAAGGCAGTTTATATCATTATATTACATATACCATACATCTTTATTTAGAAATTGCTGTTGTCATAAATATAAAGGGAAGGGTAAACCCCTTAGTTAAAGGTAACCTCGCTGGCACCTGACCAAAATGACCAATGAGGAGACAAGATACTTTCAAAAGCTGGGAGGAGGGAGAAAAAAAAAGGGTTTGTGTCTGTCTGTATGCTGCTTTTGCCGGGGACAGAACAGGAATGGAGTCTTAGAACTTTTAGTAAGTAATCTAGCTAGGTATGTGTTAGATTATGATTTCTTTAAATGGCTGAGAAAATAGCTGTGCTGAATAGAATGAATATTCCTGTCTGTGTGTCTTTTTTGTAACTTAAGGTTTTACCTAGAGGGATTCTCTATGTTTTGAAACTAATTACCCTGTAAGGTATTCACCATCCTGATTTTACAGAGGTGATTCTTTTCTTTTTACTTCTATTAAAAGTCTTCTTGTAAGGAAACTGAATGCTTTTTCATTGTTCTAAGATCCAAGTGTTTGGGTCTGTGGTCACCTATGCAAATTGGTGAGGATTTTTACCAAACCTTCCCCAGGAAGTGGGGTGCAAGGGTTGGGAGGATTTTTGGGGGAAAGACGTGTCCAAACTCTATTTTTTCAGGAACCCACATAAAGTTTGGTGGTGGCAGTGGAAATCCAAGGGCAAAGGGTAAAATAATTTGTACCTTGGGGAAGTTTTAATCTAAGCTGGTAAAAGTAAGCTTAGGAGGTTTTCATGCAGGTCCCCACATCTGTACCCTAGAGTTCAGAGTGAGGAAGGAACCTTGACAGCTGTCTATATTTCATTACCCTTGTTTAGTAGCCACATCTTTACCACACTGTTTTTAATAAAAGTACCTTTGTTTAGGAGGCTTGTTTTTACTGTGAACTTTATCTGTGCAAACATCTACATTTAATAGGAGCCGTGGCTTTAAATGAAGTTGTATGGACGTTTTCAGTGCTAGAATCTGACTAGATGAAATGTATTACATAAAATAAAAATAAAATAGGGGATGTATTTATGAAATACCTCCTTTTTTATTTTAGGGAAGTGATAGAAAAGAAGCCAGAAAAATTTAAAGTTCAGTGTCTGACAGACATCAAACATTTGTTTCATCCGAACACAGAACCCTTTTATGCTGCCTTTGGAAACAGACCTGCCGTAAGTAATAGCTGCAATTATTTTTGACTATGAAATGGAAAAGTGCTGTTGTTGTTATTCAGTATTTCTTTTGTGGTAATGCCTCAGGACTTCAAATAGGAATTAAGGCCACATTTTATTAGGCCCTGTAAAAACGAATAATGTAAAGTCAGTATCTCTCAGTCAGAGACTTCACAGTTTAGGATGTGGATGATATTCAATAGGTGAATAAAGAGACAAACATGGAGGGCAAGGTAGCAGTAGAGACATAGGTATTTGCATAAGTTAGCAGTCCCAGCAATCCCAGGTCGTTGACAGCCTAACTGTATTTAAAATCTGTAAAGTTGTTTGAAAACACTGAGAACAATGCCTTTCTTCGGCGCTGTTAGAAGTGTGTGTCCAAATTCCACTCCCATTCACACAGCACAACCCCAGTGAGCAACGTGTGGTTGGTGTAGTATAAACCAAGGCAAAATTTGGCAGGTGAAAGTCAGAGGGACTTAGACTCCAAAGTTACTTAGCCAGTTTTGAAAATTGTACCCCTGTGTCTGTTTAATCTCCTCTAGTAATTATGATAACTTGGGGCTTGTCTACAGAATACATAAGCGCACAGCAGTGGGGAGTAAATTCTAATCTGCACTAGTGTGTAGCATGCTAACAGGCCCATCTGGATCTTGCTGCCCTACACTAAAAGTTCCCTAGTGCACATTAACAGAAACCATTTTACAAACAGCACTATGTTAATGTGCACTAGGGAACTTGTCGTACATGCCAGAAGGGTCCACATGGGCCACTAAATGTATGACATGCTGGACAAGAATTTACACTTCCCTGGTGCACACTAATGCACCATGTAGACAAGCTCTTAGTTCCTATAGATTTTGTTAGGCTTAGTTAATGTTAGTAACATGCTATGAGAGCTTCTGATGCAGGATAACACGTATATTCAGTACCAATACTTTGCACTTCAGTATTCTTTATATATTATTCTGCACTATATATTCTATAAAGAATAAAATGTATTGTGCAAAGGCAGAAGTATGGTTTAATTTTTTTTAAGTTTAAGTTTTTTCTTTTTTGCCAGGACGTTTATTCCTACAAGCAAGTGGGGGTCTCTTTAAACAGAATATTCACAGTTAATCCCAAAGGAGAACTTATACAAGAGCATGCAAAAACCAACATCTCATCGTAAGTAGTACTTCATGGGCCAAATTCATCACCCAGTTGACGATGAGAGTTAAACCAAGAATTTATTTGGCTCTATTTTAGCAAAGGTTTCCTCGAAATGTTTAAAATGAAATATTTGGATTGATATAACAGTTGATTACTTTAATACCAAGTCTCCACTTGACATTATTTGAACTAACAAGAAAGATACTCACTGAGCCAGCAAATAAAATAAACGTTTGTTTTTTTTATTTGCTTATAGGGATGCTGTCCGCTTCTAGTGCAGTCAGTTTCAAAAATAAGTTAAATGTAGTTTTCCGAGTCCCTCTGCCATGTTTTGTGATCTTTAAATAATTCTTTCTTTAAAGTTTCCCCTTGTCAGGGTTTCTATGCAAAAGACTTGGGCAAACAAAAGCTGAAACTAACTATACAGTGGGCACAGCTAAAAGTGGCTATACACAAATCCCTGTCCAACTGAAGTTAATGGGAATTTTCCAGAGTTTAAATGAACTGAAGGCTTGATTTTGGAAGCACTTGCACACACTAGACATCCCATTACAGTCAACAGAACTACTCACATGAGCAGGGTTCTACAATCAGGCCCTGAACAAATATAAATAACTATATTTTTCTCTTTCAGTTATAGGAACCTAAGGGTAAACTGGTAACAATAGTGGATAGAAAAAAAATCAGACAAATGTAGATTTAAATGTGTGTGTCCCTTTAATTCTCTTAGTGTCTATGAGCCAGAATGTGAACCTCTTATTCATACTGGTGGACAGTTATTCACAAGAGCATTCCCATTGACTCAGTAACACTACTTGTGTGAGTAACTGCTCACTAGTGTGAGTGAGGTTCGTACTCCTTATATCTGAGAGGTACACAGAATGTTCACAGCAGGTTACAAAGACATTTTTAAAAAATCATTTTATAGAGTTACAAGTAGAGGGGGGAAAAAAAGAAATAGTGCATATAGTTATCACGCTACAGTCACTGCATGTGAGCAATCCTGGAACAGTAGCAGGATTGTTACAACGTGGTGGTCTGATAAATGTCAGGATGCTGCAGTGAGTCAGCCAGGTGGAAAGAATATGGTTTGAGACACTGAAACCTCATAAACATTTTAGTCCAAATTTTCAACAGTGACTAATGATTTTTGGGTGCCTGCAATCCTGGGTTCTCCACTTGAGACACCTGAAAGGGGCCAGATTGTCAGAGTGAGTACTCAGCTCTTTTGGAAAAAAATGAAGCCTCTTTAGGATGTCTCAAGGGACCCAGTAAAGGAGAAACCCCAAATTTCTAGTCACTTCTGAAAATCTGGGCCTTAATGGTTGGGTTTTTTTTAATAAATAATTCTTCTATGTGGGCTTCACCACCTAACCATTTCCAAAATAAGCTGCGATAAACTCTGCTTTCCAACACATAACCCTTTGAACATCACTGCTCAAAATGAATGCCGATGAAGGGGTGGAAGCCAGCTGGTTGGACTGATCATTTCATGCAGATGAGCTTTATATTGTATTGGTAACATGCATTAGGGTTCCAAGAGCCTTAGGTGGGCATCTTTATTTTTAAATCAAAATAAATAAACAATCTGAGATGATTTAAACAGTAATTTTTCCCCCCCAGTTACGTCAGACTCTGTGAGGTGGTTGATCACCTGTTTCCTTTGCTGAAAAGAAGCCATTCTTCAGACTTCCCTTGTTCTGATACCTACAGTCAGTTCACGTACTGGAGGGAACCACTACCACCTTTTGAAAACCAGGATATTCTTCCATCCTCATCTTAAATTCACCTACAGCCTCTTGGCCTCAGTTCAAAGGACTGGTCATCTTATATTTAAAGGACACAGCTTGGTTTTTGCCTTGGACAGATCAGCTGGAATATGTGCTATTGTGAGCATTGTATTCATTTGTTAAAAGCAAATTTGGAACTGTGTTTCCATGCTTAAAGTCACCTTTCCAATGATTAGGAATGGGAGTGGTGGTTCCAACTTCTCAGCCAACATGCTCAAAATGTGCAACAGTCTTCTTAAAAAAAAAGATCAATTACAAGTGCAATGATACTGGTTTTCAGTTAAAAATACGATAAGATTTAGTTAAAAAACCCCACCAGTGGTTCTCAACCTTTTCCACACCATGTCTGCCATGAGCCACCTTCCCATTGAGCCACAACCCCCTTCCATTTAGCAGGATGGGAAGGGCAGGGTTTCAACACTCTGACACCAGTTTGTATGTCTGTCTGTACAGGTTGCAACCTCTGTCAAATTAAAAATCCCTCATTTAAAAGAACGGACAGTAATCCCCTCCCAAACAAGCATAGGATCGTATAAGAGTTATTGGGACAAAACTTTAGCTGGTTTAAATTGGCTTTTTTTTTTCTGGGAAATAAATAATGCACACTGTGAATTGAAAGTAAGGGAAATAAAAACATGTTATCTGATTCTGTCATCCCTACTCACCTTGAGCAGTACCTTAATCCAAAAGCATTTGGATTAAGGCAAAGTGTAAGTATACAAGTGGAAGAATTCGACCCATTAGGTGAAATCTTGGCCTGGTTGAAGTAAATGGCAAAACTCCTGTTGCCATCAGTAAGGTCAAGATTTTACCCATTGATTGCACTGAGTTGCACTTTGCTGGAGCTGACAGCTTCAAGGGATTTGTCACAACTGAAAAGTATTTCGTGAAGCATTTTCTATGGCTAAAATGTGAACTTGCTGCTGGTTAAGGATGTATCTCATGATTTCAGTTGTGTGTGCTTTGCAGTACATCTGGCCATCTTTGGCATCAATGAAATCTTCCTTTTTGTTTTCAGTTCTGTACCTGAAAAGTTCTTTTCTCATTTGCACAGACACTGGTTGTAGGTACTGCTCTTTTATGTTACTTACTTTTCAATGCCTTAAATTTTACCTGTGTGCATTGGAGTCAATATTGCAGATCATTTGAGAGCATTTTTCAAATAATGTACTGCAGTACTTTGCTTTAAATTGTAACTGCAACTGGCCATTTGCCAAATGATCAAAACATTTGTGTTTGGAGATAAATAATAAAATGATTATCTTTTTTTATTTTTAAAGATATTTGGCTGGGGGTATGTCCAAAGCATAATTGCTTTCTGAAAATGGTATCATGGGATTCCATATTTAGTGTATTTCAGTTTCTCCCGTGTTAAATTTGCTCAGTGTAAAAGGAAAGGCTAGACCCTGCTCCTGATTTAACTCAATGGAAGTTTTGCCACTGGCAGTGGGAAATAGATTGGTGCCCCAAAATATGGATTTTTCTAACTGCTGGCCCTGCATACTGACTCATTTTGGATGTTAAAGTCAAGGGGCCAATTCACATTGCTCTGCATCTTGAGAAATCATTTACACAAGTGCCCAAAGACTTTCCTTCTTGTGCAGCATCACTGGATCTCTGACCCACGAAAAGAATATTTCAGGTGCATGTATGCTGTACTTAAGTCAGAATTAGTGCACAAGGAGGAAAAACTCATTTTGATTTTCAGTTCGTAGGTCAAGTGTGCTGGGCTGGCAGTTTTAAACAAAAACAAATATCTTTTTTATTGTAAACTGAACAAATTTGGTATTGAGTCCCTGAGACACCATCAATGTGGGCCTCAGGGTGCCAATTTTAGAGAGTCAGTCTCTAAGTACAACCACACTGTAATTTATATGATGTGACTCTTGGCTGTATAAGCAAGGGATTAGGAGTAGTGATGTGATTTTCTCTGTATAAAGCCTCAATGAGACCATTGCTACAATATGTCATACAGGTTTTGATGACCACATTTTAAAAAGATGTTGAAAAATGGGGAAGGGTTCAGAAAAGAGTTACAAAAATGATTCAGGGAATGGAGAAAATGCCTGAGAGTGAGGGACTTAAAGGGCTTAGTCTGTTTAGTTTAGCAAAAAGAAGATTGAGAGGTGATTTAATTGCAGCATATGAGGAGGAGAAAATCTAGCAGAGAAAGGAAAACAGGAACCAACAGCAGGAAACTGAAGCCAGACAAATTCAAATTGGAAATAAGGCACCATTTTTTAACATGGGAGTGTGGGTTCTCCATCTCTTGATATCTTGAAATCAGGGCTGGATGCCTTTCTAAAAGATATGTTTTAGCCAAATACAAGTTATTAGGCTCTGTAGCAAAGCGAGACACACCGGTGTGGCACCACCTGCTGGTCGTCTTGAGAATTAGCTCGATTCCAGCCCAGAGCGCCCTCTGCAGGCTGGTGGCTCACCTGCCTCAGGCCCCATGTCCATCCTGGACCCCGGTGCCCCTTTACCTCCAGGTTCTGCCCCGGCAGTACCCCCTCCCAGGGAAACCCCCCACCCTCTAAACCCACCTTGCCTCAGTGGCTACTGCCAGTCATCATCTAGTCCCCGCTCACTGGGGCAAACTGCAGTCTGTCATGGCCACTCATTGGCAAGGAGTTGGACCAGCTACCTCTGACTATCCCTGGGCTGCACCTCTGCAACCCCAGTACCTGCTTTGGCTTTTAGCAAGGCCCACAGCCTGGGGATTTGCCAGGCTGGAGCTCCCCAGCTCCTCTTGCCTTTCCCCAGCACTGCCCTGCTTCAGATACCATCCTCTCAGGCAGCTAGCCTTTCCCACTCCAGGGCTAGAGTGAGACCCCCCCCAATTCCTGGCCCCCGGCCCTCTTATAAGCTGGCCACACTTGTTGTCAGCTACTCCCTCAGCTTCCCCCAGCTGTTCTCACTCCATTTCCCAGCTGCAGCCAGGGCTGCTTTTAACCGCCGTTCTGCGAGAGTGGGGAGATGACCCACTACAGGCTCAATACAGGGGTATAAAATTTAATCGCCTGTGATATACAGGAAGTCAGGATGGATGATCTAATGACCCCTGCTGTCCTTAAGCTGTATGAAACTATGAAATATTCTTTGTAGATATTATTTATGACCCCCCTGTCATTAACTCTTGAGTTACCGGATGAACATATTAGCCATAGCCTGTCTGTATTTATTTTGCTAATGGCCTGTTGTAGTGCATTTATGATATAAAAAATTCCCAGCCACTTGATAAGATGCACTCAGTTCAGTTACCCTCCTGCAGTACTTAGGGCCTAACTTTCAGAGCTGAGCAACTGGAACTCCCATTGATCTCACCCATAGTGAAACGCATCTGAAAGGCAGGTCCATAGCATTTATTTGCTGATGTGCCAATAAGTAGTGAATCCAGTTTTAATCACTTTTTGGTATTGGAAACAAAATGGCAATGTAGATGAGTAGCTGATCTAAACCATTTCAGTTTGAAGACCCTACTACACTAGGGGACATTGTGCTCTGTCGAAGTTTGACTGTAGCCGTCTAAACACCCAAAGGTATATATTACTCTTAGCTAATATTTATTAAATTGGCTCATGGGGAGAACAGTTTGGAAAATCAAAAGCTTGTTCTGTTAGTAACAAAAGATTTTGCTCCATTTTATAATATTTTTTAAGTGTACGCTATAGTTTGCTTTGGCTGTCAGGCAGTTGTCTGCCTACATCTTTAAATTGGATTATTCATTCATAAAGAACAAAGTGGAATGGTTAAAGGAATTCTTACTCTTTCCGTGAAAGAAAAATGGTGCCTGCTTTCAGTGTAATGGTGGTTTCTGTTACAGAAAGAATACTTTTTGCTAACATAGTGCAAATGCAAACACCCAAACCACAATGTGCTCTATTTCTACAATAGACATATTATAAACTTGACTGTGGGGTGGTGACTATTGTTTATTTTCATGAATCTGATGACTGTCCCACTCAACACGGGTGGTCATAGGAGGGGGAGGATAATATATGCATCTTATCAGTTATATCAAAGCTAAAATTTATTGACAGCTTTCGGGGTTGGGGGAATGTTTTATTTTATATTTTGGTTTGGCTCATCATTTCTATTTCTATTTATATACAGGATTTGCTCTGTCTAATGCACTGATGGAAATCATTGTAACACCTCATTTTGATGTGCTGAATGCAAAGACGTTAAAGATATATTGTAATAAATGCAAACAGCTGAAAAATAATTTTCTGCCATTTCAGTTCTTTGACATCTTAAAAATGGTCAGCTGTGGCCTTGTGTCTTTTGGCCAACTTGAAAGAATATTGTGTTGTGTGATAATTGTGTCCATTAGTAATGGCTTGTCTTTTTTCAGGATTACCTGCTGTCACATCCAGCATTTGTAGTATTCACCCTGTGGCATTGCAGAGAGCCCGGGAGCCAAAGCTAATGGAAGATGCCATTGAAGGTGGCCTGGCCAGAGTGCCTCTGTTCTCCCACTAGTCCTGGCTGTCAAAAAGCACTTTAGTGTCTGGAACAGCCAGGCAGACATTAGAGCAGTGGTTCTCAAACTTTTGTACTGGTGACCCCTTTCACGTAGCAAGCCTCTGCGTGCGACCCCCCGTTATAAATCAAAAACACTTTTTTATATATTTAACACCATTATAAATGCTGGAGGCAAAGTGGTGTTTGGGGTGGAGGCTGACAGCTTGCAACCCTCCCACGTAATAACCTCGTGACCCCCTGCGGGGTCCCAACCCCCAGTTTGAGAACTCCTGCATTAGAGCAACCCTGATGCTAACTTATTGCAGGGACCAAAAAGACCTCCAGGGCTTGATCCAAAATTACAGAGCTGCAAAGGCCTAAAGCCAGATCTTTGGCTCCTCCACCCCGATCCATCCCGCCTGTCCTCAAGTCCTGGCCTGAGCACAGCTCAAAATCTGGGCCTGGGTGTCTAACTCACATCCTTCAAGTTTGACTGAGACCCTGGATACATAAGGGTCTGGTTATGTCCCAGTGAAGGCAATAGGAGTACTGTCATTGGCTGCAATGGGAGCAGGACTACACAGTAAGGGTTGTTTTGTTTTCTGTTCCAGTGCTGAGAAATAGACAAGAAAAATAATTGCTGTTATTTATGAGAACACAAAAAATGCATTGCGCTTCCTCTGCTGGATTTGCTGAAAAAATAATGACCAATCAGTTCTCCATGCTGCCAGGCTGGCATTAGTTGATGATTAAAAAATAAAAATGTTTGGAGTTAAGAAGGTTCTACAGTAGCTGAAGTTCAGTTCAAAATTGTGAAAAAAGCCATGTTTGGACAGTCCACACACATGGCAGCACCAGGCCTCTCTGTTGTCTGTGAAGCTCTGACCTGTGTAAAAGTTTACCCTAAAGTTCTGGAGATGGGTTTGAAACAAGGGTGCTTTTCAAATTAATAATCACAGAAATGACACCTTCGCCTTTACTAAGCAGACTTTGTAAGGACCTATTTATTGCTCCTGGGATATCCTGTGAACAAAGGATGCATAAAAAGTTTGAGGTAACAAACTTTCAGAGGAGCTGCGCACTTAAAACTGCCTCCTGGTGTTACAATGGAAGAAGGAACATTTCCCTTTAAATATACAGGTCTAGACAATTGGAGTGTTTAATGTGCTTTGCAAATGGCACCAAATACCTTGGGAGAGATTTTTGCAAGATGTAAAACCAAATACAAGAAACTACTTTGTTCAATATTCAGGACCAAATATAAGCACTTGGAAATATGAGGCCTTCAACTCACCCTTTTGTGTACACCCAAGCTGGGCACCATTTTAAAAGACCTTCTCTGTGTGTATCCACAGTAAAGATATGGCATTGAAAATGCACATGAATGATGCTGACGTCTAATACAGCAGACTACAGCCCGTTCAGTTTTGGAGGAAAATCCAGGCTTTCCTTGGCTTTCCTTCCTTCAACTATGCAAGGGAAGGGCTGAGTGTAGGTGATCACACAGGAAATTGCCCCTTTCCTTCTCCCCCCCCCCCTCCAGTTTTGTTGTGGCTCCCACTGTGACAGCACACAGGGAATGGTGCTGCAAGATCCTCTTGTCCTGCCTGGGAGGGGGCTACAGAAGGGCCTGCAAAGGCTACTTTAGCCATTCAAGTCTAGCATGAGAACAATGGGCGCAGGAGCAGGGAGAGGAATGGGGGCAAGGAGAGGGGAAAAAACAGAGCTTGGGGAGCAGAGACAAATTCAGTAGTTTAGCATTGTCTCCATGAAGTGCCTGTATGACTGCTCTGGGGCCTAAGAGGTAGAATCTTCCCTTCTCATCACTGCACATTGGTTCAGTGCTGAGCCTGGCTTTTTGAGTCAGGCACTGGGCTCAGGCTTTGGCCTGAAAGCATTTTGCCTGAAACCGTGCCAGGCTTTGCTTTGAGAGCATTGCATGAGAGAGGTGAACAGGCCCTTTCTGGCTGGTTTGCCAAGTAGGAGAGGATAAAACTGGTCAAGGACAAATCTGTTTTTCAAGAGTCTAAGAGGGTATTGCAAGCAGCTGAGGAAAGTTGCAGGTGCCGTTACATTTAAATCTTAATTAAGTACAATACCCTCCTAATTTGTCTATAGAATTAGAAAACCATATAGCAGCTCACCACTCTGAAGTAGGGTATACAGCTCCATAATGCCACATGAATCTATTTTCAAAAAAGGCTTGGCTAGGCATTGTGACTCTAATTCAGCAAAGAATTTAATGACATACTTAAGTCCCATGGACTTCATCAGAACCTAAGAACATGCCTAAATGCTTTACTGAACTGGGGCCTGGAGAGTTACTAACTGATCTCAGTTTTCTAATGGCTACACTTTCATATGGTTTCCAAGCCTGTAGCAATGTCAGGTGTTCAGTGTACTGCCAGCACTCTATTTATTGATACAGGAAATCCATTTTGCCTTGCCTTGCTTTTAATGAGTTTTGCAAGCAAGTGACCCCTTCCTGTGACTCATTTTGTGTTTTCTGAATGGGTTTTGTGGGTTAAAGTTTCACAGTTGTAAAGTAATCACGATGTCTGCTTTTCCTTGTCGACTGGAATCTTAACAGGGAGAATACATTTTGGAACAAAGAAATGTAAATGGAGTAGAACAGTTCACATTTCTTTACAAAATTATATAAACAGCCTTTTCCGAGACAGTTAAAAGAAACATGCAAACTGAAACTAGGTCACGTTTTCAAACTGATTTGTTTAACAAATAGGTTTGTTTTAGAACATCACTTTTAACACAAAAAAGACAGTTTCATTGATTTTGTCTCAATATTTATTGTTTGTCTTTTGATTTATAACCAATAAGTATTCCAAAAATAAACACCAAAGGCCTTACTCTTATGTCAGTTACAGCAGAGCAGCTCCGTCAAGGTTACCACTCAGCTTCACACAACTGTAACTGAGAACTACATTTTCAGTCTAAACATTGAACTATCCTAAAGGAGCCTTTAATTCAGCGACTGATCCTGTAATTGCATGATTTTTAATCTTTTTAGATAGTTTTTGAATTTAATGCACCAGGTGAGGAACTGGGAGGATTACTTCTGCTTTTGTTTTAGTCTTTTAGAAGAGGTATGGCAGAGGAGGGTGAGAATCCTATTTAAATTGGTACCATTAACATGGGATTCATAGATTCCTAGCCCAGAAGACACCATTGTGATCATCCAGTCTGATCTGCATAACACAGGCCATAGAACTTCCCCAAAATAATTTCTAGAGCACATCCGTTAGAAAAGTATCCAATCTTGATTTAAAAATTGTCAGTCATGGAAAATCCACCACAACCCTTTGGTCAATTGTTTCAATGGTTAATTCCTCTCACCATTAAAAAGTTGTACGTTATTTCCGATCTGAATTTGTATAGCTTCAACTTCCAGCCATTGGATTGTGTTATACCTTTTTCTTCCAGATTGAAGAGTCTATTATTAAATATTTGTTCCCCACGTAGGTACTTCTAGATTGTAATCAAGGCACCCTTAAAGCTTCTTTCTGTTAAACTAAATAGATGGAGTCTATCACTATAAGCCATGTTTTCTAGTCCTTTAATCATTCTCACAGCTCTGCTCTGAACCCTCTTCAATTTATCAACATCCTTCTTGAACTGTGGGCACCAGAACCTCACACAGTATTCCAGCAGCACCAGTGCCAAATGCAGAGGTAAAATAACCTCAAGATTCCCCTGATTACGCATCTCAGGATTGCATTAGCTCTTTTGGCCACAGCACCACACTGTGAGCTCATGTTCAGCTGATTATCCACGATTAACCTCAAAAATCTTTCTGAGTCACTGCTTCCCATCCTATAGTCCCCAATCCTGTAAATATGGCCTACATTCTTAGACGGATGTATTTACATTTAGCAGTATTAAAACACATCTTTTTTTGCCTGGTCCCAGTTTATCAAATGATCCAAATTGCTCTGAATCAGTGACCTGTCCTCTTCACTATTTACCACTCCCCCAATTTTTGTGTCACCTGCAAACTTTGTGCTGATTTTATATTTTTTTCCAGATCATTAATAAAAATATTAAATAGTGGAGAGCCAAGAACCAATCCTGTGGGACCCCACTGAAAACAAACCCAATTGACGCTAAATTCCCCATGTATCGTTACATATTGAGCCCTATTAGTCAGTCAGTTTTTAATCTATTTAATGTGTGCCATCTTAATTTTATATCATTCTTGTTTTTCAGTCAAAATATCAATGGTCAAATGCCTTACAGAAGTCTAAATATATTACATAAACATTATAACCTTTGCCAACCAAATGCATTATCTCATCAAAAAGAGACAGTTGACAGGACCTATTTTCTCTAAACCCATGTCGAGTTCCATTAATTACATTACCCTCCTTGAGTCCTGCTGCTCCATTAGCTAGGCCAGGGTTAATATCAGGTTGACAGGCCTATAATTACTTGGTACATCCTTCTTTACCCTTTTTAAAAATTGGTACATTAGCTTTCTTCCAATTTCCTGGAACTTCTCCAGTGCTCCAAGACTCCATGTTAATGGGCCAGCATGCTCCTGAGCCAGCTCTTTTAAAAAATCTTGGATGCATGTTATCTGAACCTGCTGCTTTAAAAATATCCAACTTTTATAGCTTCTGTTTAACATCCTCCAGAGATATTAGCAGAATGGAAAGAGCATTCTCATCACCATATGAAGAGACCATATCATCTGTTTTTCCCCCAATATAGAGCAGAAATATTTATTGAACACATCTGCCTTTT